CACTGCTTGGATCATGAATGGGCCTCGTGAATACTCATAATCATCCATACCACAACCCGCTCAACAAGCCCCAGACATTTGCGTGGTTTGGGCCCATTTAACCTTGTAGTGTGGTACGTGTGCAAGCGCATATAATTAATTTTTTTGTACCCAAGTTGGGTTTCTTCCCAAGTTAGGTGTCGTACTGGGCTATACATATATATATTTGGGTCCAGCCTTGGATTTTTTGGGCCTCAACAGGATGCAAAGGGATTTCAAGTAGATTGATGTTGTTTTGCTTCGGCTATTGAGCATGCAGAGAAATTTTTGTTGGTTGCTTGTTGCTGGATGAAAAAGAACTTATTGAATTGTCACAAGTATTTATCTTGTTTTATACATTATAACCTTTTATTTTAAATTTTTATATATTGAAGTTTGAATGTTAAAATTTTTAGTTAATTTGGACAGGTTAGATCTTGGTTGAAAAATGAAAGTGAGTTCATCATTAAGTTTATATATATATATATATATATATATATATATATGGGCCTAATTTTTACTTTTGCCACAGGCTGTGAAAAATTCAGGATTGACTACCCAGTGATTTTTTTTTATTTATTTATTTGCAAATATGAGATACCCAATTTCCATTCTAGCCATCAAAGATTTTATAGTTCAAATGGTTAAGTACAGTGACTCATCATGCACTTGAGATCAATATTGTGTTTGAATCTCCTTGTACCACGATCAATTTCGTTCAATGTTTGATTCAAAAACACTGCGCTAATATTAAAATAAATAAATATGGGCCAAAGGTAGGGTTTGATTGTGGGCATTATTTTACAAAGCTCACGGGCTACACCTTGTAGCTCGGCTTGTTGAATAAACCCAACCCAAGAACTTGTGATGTAGATTTCATTTTCAGGCCCTGCTCGTTAATGGTGGCCCAAGATATCCAAGAGCAACCCGCCCATGGAGTTGAGGTGGGCCCAAAAATTGTAATCCTGTCGCCTCATGCGGAAACAATTGGGCTGTGGTGATAAAAGATTCGTAGCCAAATAATTAGTGTCAGTTTTGTTGACCTCTGACACAGGAGCTGATAGATGTTGCATCAATTAATTGCTTGTTTTTTTGTTTCATTCCAACAACTAAATTATATGTTAATTTGGAGATCCCTGGATATTCCTATGGAGCTTACACTAAATTCCAAAATCATCATTTCATGACGTAAAGTTGGTCAACCCCACCACCCTTGTTATCAATATAATTACATTCTTAAAATACATTTCATTGTCTATTCTAACAAAATTATATTTATATATATATTAACAATTTAAAAAAAACACTCAATCATTCATGCCCTTGTTTTTAAACTTTCACAGCTAAGTGGTCGACATGTTTGCAAATGAGGCCAGCTAAACTAGATCTTTGCTATTAAAGGTATGTTTTTCTTCTTCTTTTTTTCCTTTTTTGGGTTTATTTATGGGCTTATTTAAGTATTTATTAGTTTTCCATTTCTACCCCGGAAGTTAGCGCGAATTCATGACCCTACCAAAACGAATCATCGAAATGGACGGTTTGCATTTAAAGGAGGCAACGGCTCAGATTCGGTGTCGATTGTCTTACAAGTAAAAAATCCCGCTTAACTCTCCCGCCTTTCAGATGCAGCCCAATTTTGGGGCCGGCTTAGCTGTCCTTTGGACCCATTTCCAATGCCCTACCTCACCTATTTATTCGCGTCCTTATCCTCCTTTTTTTCTTCACTTATTATATTTTCCATTGAAAATTTTATCTTATAATTTTTTAATGGGGGTGATGATAGAGTGCTTTGCAGCTGTATTTGTGGCGATGCTGTTGAGGCCCGCAAGGGCCGGTCTGTTTTTGCACCGTCAGCAAAGTTTCCGCGTGGAAACAGAATCGAGCTTTTTTTTTTGTAAAGCCTGTCGTTTTTAGCTTTTTTCTCTTCTTGTTTTTTCGGTTGGGGACCTCTAGTTTTTTTCTTTTTCCAAAGAAATATAACTGTATTGAAACAACAATGTCAAAAAAATACGGGAATATTAAGAACTAAACTCCAGTGATGTAAAACATATGTGGCGTCATTAAAATTTGCCTTTAAAACTCCCAAATAAAGGAAAATCATATTTTTTTTTAAAAATCACCACATCACAACATGTCACAAACAATCCTAATTACAAAATTAAGAAAATAAAATGTCAATCGGGAAAACATTACAAACAACCCACGTCTCTACAACGTTGAAAAACGTTACAGTCGGTCATGGGGGATGGCCCTCAATCATATAGTTTAGTCCACAATACATAGCTTTCACCAATGAAATATGAAACATATAACTTGCATGCAAGTAGTATAACTTTTTTTTATTTGACCTCTTTTTGTACAAATTTTTTTATTTTACCTTACCGTTCCTCTTTTACATGAACCGATTATTATTTCAAATTAAATTTTGTTGCATATTTTTTCTTCCAAAATTTAAGATACATATCGTTGCCCCTGTAATTATTGAAAAGCAATATCTTATATTAAATGAGTTAGCATCAAGTGCTAGCACATTGGCAATCTACACCATTGTTCATATTGGAGACAATTACATCATACAACAATGTCTATATGCATTTTGATGTGGAGATCTAAGGAGTTCAGGTAGTTGTACAATAATATGCGTGATCAAGATAAATATCAAGCGCTTATAGTGTAAGTAGTGAAGAATATTTACCAACGTACTAAGGTTTTGTATTCAATTCTATCATCTTATATTGCTTGTATGAAAGATAATGTATTTATCACAAGGCAACATGGTAGCTGATATCTTGGCAAAGAAAGGACATGAGGATAATCACTCTTGTATCTGATTTAGTAACTTACATGTTAATTATAGATGTTTTGAATGCATACTAATTCCAAATGTTTAATTTTAAATATCATTAAATATAAACTGTCGAATGATAGCCTAAATGTTTTACTTAGTAAAGGACTTATAACTCAATTGGTTAATATCATTTACTCATGCATTCGATGTCTTAGACTCCATTTCCTCCACCAATATCGATTGTATATAAGGAAAAAATATATATTACTTTACATGCATGTGTTTTTTAAACGAATGATAGAATTGTAGATCTAAAAGTTAATATCTTTTAATCATTATAGGAGTTTTTTCAATAATGAATATTCGTAATTTTCGTTTCTCAAATGAAATTTGAAGAAAAACAATTCCTTGCAATGCAAATCAACCTCGTTTGTTTGTTTTAAAAAAATACATAAGATGGAAACAGGGAACATGAGATTTTCAGATGCATTTATACGCAATTTTTTTTTATTAATACTGTAAATTAAACTAAAGAAAAGCAACACCCGTAACCTACATAAACATTCAAACATATTTATCTTCAAGCTTTCGCATACACCCTATTAGGGAGTTTTTTTTCCTTTTAATAATTATAGGAGTTTTTTCCTTAATGAATAATTGTAATTTTCATTTGTCAAATGAAATTTCAAGAAAAACGTATCAGGGGTTCGTACCCCAAAGGGGTCATGGTGTAAGAGTCTTCATACATTTGTTTGACACAAATAATTGAAAAAAATTAAATAATAGTATTTTCATTAACATATTTTTACTCTAATTGCTTTCCTAGCCATAAAATGAAAACTAAGTTTCATTTATTTTTTCCTCTTTGCTACCCTAGCTATATCACATATAAAAAAGCCAACAAATATGCCCAAACTCTATAATGACCCCACTGTGATACGTCAGTGATCGCATACTATATTAGGGATTGATGAGTTGAATTGGTGAAATCGGCTGATCCAAATAGTAATTATCAATTTGATTTTGTTTTGACTAAGAAAAAGTTAAACTGTTTAAAATCAAACTAAACCTTACATGGTTTGGTTTGATTCAATATTGAGTTTTTGTAAACCGACCTCAACTGAATCAGATCGTCAAGTTGTATATTTATTGTACACTTATGGTACCCTAATTAGATTATATGGATTTTAAATTTGAAGTTTGATGTACCTTTGGAGTTATTGATATTTAAATTTGAGCTATTTTAGTTATTGAAATTTGAAGTTTTAATGCATGTTGAGTTTTAGAGTGGTTTGATAGTATAGTAAATGAAAAAGTACGTAGCAAGTTGTGAATATTTTTTATTTATTGTAATTAGGCTAATAATGTTGAAAAAATGCAAAAAAGAAAGAAAATTAGGCTTAGGCCCAAACCAACCGGGTTTGGTTCGATTTCTTCATTAATATTTGTCAAAATCGAACCAAATAAACCGTTATATTATAATTAGTTTGAAAGTTATTTTAAAGTAAAATTGATCCAAATCGGACCATATTCAAGACTAATAAAAAACATATAAAAAAAAAAAAAAAAAAAAGCAAATTATCTCAGTATTACTGACAAAAAGTTATTTCGCAACCGTAATTTCTATTTATATTTATACAGGGTCCTTTTTATCTGAAAAATAGAAGAAGAAGAAGACAATTTTTCAGACAGCTGGCAACCAGAGTGAGCGAGTCTTCCCTTTCTACACCGGCAATTGCGGGAACCACTCTCTCCCCCCTCCTCAACTTGTTCCTTGTCTCGAATGCCCAATTCCAGCATGTGATACATAACAAAAGCCAGCAATTTCCAAACTTGACCAGGGGCACTTTCGGAAATCCAAAACCCCCTTAGATATCCCCGCAGTTTCCTACGACTTTCCTGCGTGTCACGCTCGTGGGTGCAATCTCAACCGTCTATCTCAATCCACATCCCCAAGCTCGAAACCCTAGCTCCCTCCTTCCCTTGAATAATAAAGTTTAAAATTTGCGTTCAAACCCCTCTTCCATTCTCATTCCGAGAGAGAGAGAGAGAGAGAGAGAGAGTGCATCTGGTTCGCGTATTGCTCTTCGTCTCTGGTTCGTCCTCCTCGGTTAGGGTTTTATATGCAATCAATTAGAACCATAGCTGCGTCGTTATAATCAACTAAGGGTTTAAATTATCGAACCTTGAGGGAATGGATAGATTGGCGGAGGCGGCAACGACGGCGTTTGGGTTCGTGAGGTGGGATGAGGTGTTTGTGTCGAGCGACAAAGGGAGGAGAGAGGTCCATTACTATCTGAAGCGAAGCGACGGGAGCTCAGATCTGGCTGTGGTAGGCAAAGAGAAGAGCTTGCGGCACATGTCCTATCATTACGCGTTTAGAAACCGATCCTTATTCTCTATGTCTTCGCTTGTTAAGCTCAAGTCTCGCAGGGAGGTCGTTGATTGGCTAAATTCCGTCGTTTCAGGTAAATTTCGCGCATGTTCAATTTCTTGATGAATTTTGATAACCCTCCCTTTCTTGTTTGTTTTTGGATATTTTGGGGGTTTTCAGTTTTCCTTATTGGGAAAATTGAATGTGTTTTTTGTATTTGTCTACAATTTGTTCGTGTAGTATTGTTGGGATTTGGCTTTTGTTGAAGAAATTTTCTGGATCTGGATGGTTTTGTTGGAGGCGGACATAGAATTACTGGGGTTGTGTTTAATTTGTAATCGATTTATTCACAAATCGATTTCTTTTGTTCCCATTTTCTTGTGTATATTTTCACTGATTTGTGGTCATGGGAGCTTCCCCACCGCTTTTACATGGGATTTCACCATCCGAATTTTTTCGGAGACGGGTTCTCTGGTTGATAGGGCGGAGGGTTCTTGGGTTCACCTACAGGCCAAATTCAAGGCTTTTCCCTTTGTTAAAGTTTCAACCTTTGCCATGAGACGTAAGTTTTGTGATAATCTGTCAAAATCTTATTTCCTTTATCTTTCAATTTCTAGATTCGGCTCTGGCAAGAGTGTTTATCCTCCAAGTTGGCCTGTCTTCCACTCCTTTCCCTCTTTCAGATCTCCACTTATGTTGAATTCTTCTTGGCATGAGGAAAAATCCCCTTGCCTTGAAGAAAAATTCTTCTATTCATTTCCATGTAAAATCTTTTCTTTTTTTTGGGATCGGTCTTACCTCTCTGTTTATTTCTTGGAAATTTACACAACTTATAGCCGTTCTATTTGTTAAAAACACGAACGCCTTAAATATATTTTCGTCATGTTCTTTCATTGAGCCCCCACAGGCTCTTTTTTGTTCACTAATGAAGGACCTTACAGGTGGTATGGGCTGTTTTATGCGTATTCTTACTTTTACGGTCTTGTCTTTATCTGGCTTTCAACCTTGACCATGCTCTGTTCTTGATGGTATTGCTGGTGTTCCTGTTTTTGTGAACTGACTATGATCTGGGCTGCAGGATTTTTAATTAAATTGTAAAGAGCTGGTTGAGAGCATCGGATCCTTATGCCCTCAAAATCTCTAGGTCAAGACCCTTCATGGCCAGATTTATTATTATTTTCCCTAATGATCTTTGGTATCTGTGGTAGTTTATGTCTTCAGGTTGTCAGTCTCTGTTTAATGTATCCATCTGTTATGGAGACTTGTCCTTTGCACTGCTTGTTTCTGTTTACACATTTCTTTCTGTTAATATTCTTGGGTTGTTTTTCTTTTATGTTTTCATTAATGTGTCCTGATTGCTGATATATCTGTCATTCTATTTTCGTTATTATTTTTACTGTAGTCCACGTTAAATGTCATATTAATTTGTTTGTTTTATGAATCCTTCAGATACATCACCTCACGAGTCACCTGATTTGGGTGGGAGTGTGTTGGATGATAAAGATTCTTGCAAACTGGGGATTGAAATCCATAAGGTAAGGATGATTACTTATGACTCTTATTTACCCCCCTGCATGTTTTATGCTTCAAATATTTATTACTGAAATACGCTTATATTCATTCTCCATCTTTCTCCTAGGATACTGTATTGCGGAAGTTGGGCCACCATACTACAGAGTTTCTGTGGTTAGGTTCTCCTTGGACATGCAGGAAAAAACGGAGGCATTATCAATCTTTCAGCCGGAACAGTGTTGTAGTTTCTGTAAGTTCTATTCCATTGCCTTTTCTTTTTATTAAAAAAAATTCCCTTTTGTTTCTTGGACATCTTACTATCAATTGTGAGTTTGCTTTTGAAAAATATTTTCATCTGACTCATTCATCTTCTGTTGTTCCTCTTTCCAAATACTTTCAGGTTCATGATTTTGTATTTGTTTTAGCAGAGGAGGATAAGCGTCTTGTTGCATACTTAGAAGATATGTATGAAGATTCTAGGGGCAACAAGATGGTTGTGGTACGATGGTTTCACAAAGTTGATGAGGTTGGTATTGTTTTGCCTCGCAATTTTAATGACAGAGAGATTTTCTTTTCTCTGTGTCTTCAAGATCTCAGTATTGAATGCATTGATGGATTGGCAACCGTCCTCAGTCCCCAGCATTTCGAGAAATTCCACAAGGAGGCAACACAAACTCATTTGGAACCCTTTGTATGCCACAAGCAGTTTGATAATGATGATTGCAAGCCCTTCGACATTACTCAAGTTAAAGGTTATTGGAAACAGGAGATACTTAGATATATGTGCACAGCTTCTCCTTCAAAGGTTCATGGGAGTTCTCAACAATCAACAGAGGGGTTGGAAATGGAGGAAAATGATGATGCCAATGGTGTCAGACCTAAAAAGAGGCATCATTCAATAAAAGGGTATGATGTGTGCTTGGAAAACAATGACCGAAGTGAATCACTGGATGCAGTATGTGTGGATGTGGGGAATTTAAGTAAACATGGGATTGATTGCAGAAGTAAAAGCGAAGCCTGTGGTTTTGGAAGAGGGAGTTCTGATGCTACTTTACCTAGTAAAGAGGTGAAGAAAACCCTACTGCAGCATTTAGCACTGGGCTCCCAGGTTGAAGTCCTCTCACAAGACAGTGGCATTAGAGGATGTTGGTTTAGAGCTTTAATTATCAAAAAGTACAAAGAGAAAGTGAAGGTGCAATATCAAGATATTCAGGATGCAGCTGATGAAGCTAAAAAACTTGAGGTATGCATTGGGGCCATCTCTGTTATATTTTATTTTGTATTAAACTTGTGTCAAACCTGTTCTTTGCTTATGGCTTGCTTGAATTTTATGATTTTCATGTTGTAGGAATGGGTTTTGGCATCCCGGGTTGCAGCTTCTGATCAATTGGGTTTTCGGATTTGTGGTAGGCCAATTATTCGGCCGTCTCCACAGTCTAATAAATGCAAAGTTTCATGGGCGGTTGATGTTGGGACTGCTGTTGATGTCTGGTGGCACGATGGGTGGTGGGAAGGGATTGTAGTTCAGAAGGAATGTGACGAAAGACTTCGTGTGTATTTCCCAGGTTTGCAAATACTTCCCTTCTTTGAAATCTAATAATAGTAACAACGAAGTTCATGAAAATCTGTTAATTTTCTATTTTGTATTTTTGTTTACTTGCTTAAGTATATTAATTTGCTTACTCTCTATGTGCAGGAGAAAAACGGGTGTTGATTGTCGGTCGTGGAGAATTAAGACATTCTCAAGAGTGGGTGGGTAATGGGTGGGCTCAAATTAAGGACGAGCCTGAACTTGTTAGCTCAATCACGTGTAGTTTAGAAACAAAGCAAGTTGTGGGAAAATGTTTAGATGGCATGTCAGCACAATCTGCTATCTGCGATAGCAGGGCCTCGAAGAAAGATGAAACAGGGTGTAAGGTTTCTTGTCTGCTCTATAAAAAAGATGAGGATGAAAAGGTTAAAGAATTGGGTAAGGTTCCAGATCTTTTGAAAGATGATGTACTTGCCCAGCTGAAGTGGAAGTCGTCAAGGAAGAGAAGACGTAACGGGAGCTCTGTCCAGAAGGTGCATTGCATTGTTGGTGACGGTAAAAGCACCCGTGGCCTTGTGGGATCCGGTACTTGTGAAAGATTTATGATTCCGTCATCTCTGAAAGTTGATCATGAGAACTGCAAATATTTAGGGGATTCTCTGTTCAGTTCTTCAGTGGCGCCCCCACTAACAAGCTTAGTTATGTAGTTTATTCATCCACAAGTATATATTTGCTCTGGTGCATCTATTGGATGCCACTTTCTTTTTAGACCCTATAATCTCAGCAATGTCATCTCCTGAAGTGTTCATTTGATAAGTCATGGCATCCAAATCTCTCCATGTACGTGTTTAACTATTTATGCAACAATAGCCTGAAGGGCCTGAAGCCCTGCAAATGTCAGGCAGAAATTTTTGGCGCAGTTAGAAATTGACCTTTTTAGTTCTTCAGTCTTCTTCACAGTTGGTAGCAGTTGTATGTAATTTGTATATCGTTTTTTGATTTAATAAAATTTAAACTGTCAATCTTTTTGGTTGTCAAAAGTTTGTAACTGTCACTTGCATAATGTTTGAGCTGGCCCCCTCTTCCGGAAGGAACCCTTGGGATTTGTAATTGACTGTATGCCATTCTGAACCATGGATGAATTTATTCTCTCACGAGGATTTTAGTGCATGATCAGGCTCTCGTCGTTTGTGATTTGATCTAATTCAACTTAATGATGTTTGGCATCAGCAAGTGTCCGTTGGTCATAATTTAGGGACCAGCCTTTTATTTGACTTGGTCTCACCTTTGAACAGAATAGCTACATGACAGGGATCCTATCCTATGTTCTTTGTAACGTTACAGATCTAAGATAATATCAACTGTTTTCCAAGTTGGCTTTGTTTACAAATAGAAATAGAGTTTTGGTTGGGCAAGGATCCTATGTCACAAATAGTTGAAAACTTGCAAGAACAGACCAAAACTACGACTAAAACCTGTATTTTAATAGATAATTTGACTGTTATTTACAGCTGTACCGCACTTAGTATACTGCACGACATCATTGCCAAGTAACGTCGGAGGAATAAGTATGGAGAAGAAAAGTTTGTGTGCCAATGCCACACACTAATGCAATTGTGGGGCTACCATTTGTGAATGAAGCATCGTTGTCAACTAAAGACCTTCACCTTTTCCCATTTGCTGCTTTAACAAGTTTTTTTTTTGTCATTAATCTCCGCTCCCTTTCTCTCCAACAAACGGTACTAAAGGACTCAAAGTACCTCAAAAAGTAGGAAGGCTCCATCAGGACAGCAGTAGCTGCTGCTAGATCATTTTCTACTTGCAAGATGGGATTGAACTTCTTACCTTCCTGCTCTGTGTGAGGTTCTTCTTCTTGCTCTGTTTAAGCAACATAACGAAGCCATGGCTTGCAGTATTGATGGCCTAACAAGGAGCTCTCATGATTTGGAATCAAAATGAAGTCAAACACTTCATCACTTTCTCCTGGAACCAGTCTTGCCTCTGCTGAATCTTTATCCATGCCTCTTGTTTGTACTCTCTCTCTCTCTCTCTCTCTCTCTCTCTCATTCCTGCATTCATTTATATTCCCTTAAGTTATTGTTGGTTTTTTGCTCGCTCAAACCAGTTCCAGGAAGTTGTTCTCTCTGCTGATATAGGATGTACTGAATGCCAAGAGAGACTTGCAGACATGATGTCAAAATTGGGTGGTAAGATTCCTATGCAGCCTTCATTCATATGCTTTGGATTATCATGGCAAATTAGAGACTGGGCTTGTAAAATTTTCTTTTATTTTGTTGGTTTTAAAAGGGACCCGTTTGTCTTTGTTCTAAATATCAGTAGAGTCTTGATCGCTTGCCTGCCTCCTATACAAGATACTGCATGTATGAGTTTTTGCTTTGATGAACTAATGGCATTTGATTTACAGGTTTAGAAACAAATTATTACATTTCTAGGGAGCATGGAACATCTCAGATTGAAATAATGCTGGCCTTTCTCGAGTAATTACCAAAGAGTTCTGCCTCTGGTAAAAACATTTGCCCTGTTTATGCAAAATGGAAATGCATGTGCTCTGTGGACCCGTGGTGGGTAATTTATCATCTCAGAGCTGTGAAAACTTTGGCTGCAGTAGCAACTAGTAGGAAACTTCTTTAATGTTCTTGGCCAAGAAAGGGTCGAATACTATAAAGCTGCTCAATGCTACAGTATAAGTATAGTATGGTACTTATTCCATGACAGTTGTACATGATTGTCTGCTAGTCAAGTTCTTGGCTTAGGCCTTGGAGCTTCCTCTTCCCTAATGGGACCACCTGCATGTGTTTTCATCTACTTTCTTTTATTAGCACTGTAAACATGTGATGTAAACATTATAACATGTTTTCATGATTGAGCAGAGATAGAGTCTGTTGTGGTGAACGCATTGGAGAAGAAGGTTACACTCATTTGCAGATATCCCAGAGTAGCCAAAGTACCGGCCCGTCCGCTAGTTGCTGCTGTTTACAGGAACCCTCTAAACAAATTTGCCTTGATTAAACGGATATTTCGTTCTTCCTCGAGTTGATCAATTCCAAGCCAGATTGAGAAGTCCAAGATGCTATGGGAAATTCATATCAGAAGTCTTCCTAATTCCTTCAATTGGATTGGACATGAATATTAGTTTTTCGCTCTGATTAATCGATGATTGGTACATACTTCAGTTGGTGGTTTGGTTCCACATTTTGTAAATGAATTTTTATAGAAACGTATAGTAAAATAAGTGGGACATATTGGTAGATTGATTGGGCAAATCCTTGACTTCTTGTTATGTTACTGTGTTTGTTTGGAAAAGAGATGGTTGGAAAAACTGGATCCTGAGGGGGGCCTTAAATTTTCTTTAATAGAAACCTTTGAGTTCAAGAAAGAGATGCTTTCTAATGTTGCTATGCAAAAGTGATGCTTAGCCTTGCCATTGTGACAGGAAACAGACAAATATTTATAATGAAGTTAAGGATATATAATAAGCCGCACAGAAGAAACAAAAAGCCTCTTTCTCAACTTCAAGCATAGTCAGATTCCAAAACGAAAAGGAAGAATTTCCATGGGATGATTCAAAAGTAGAATATCAATTATTGGTTCACAATCTTTCATATTCCCAATATTCCACAGCTGCCTTTTCCATTTACCTTTCTCCAGTCATCAAAACAACCCAAAATTTCATCTCAGGTCCTGGCATTTCCAACTTCATGGCAGGAAAGGCAAGTTCTGTGGCATCTTTGTCTCTCTTCCTTGTCAAGCTTACATAATGTCTCAAAGGTTAAATTTCGTCTTTCCGAAAAAAGAAGAAGATTTCTGATGGGGCTATATATCTGTTTTTGGTTTTTTCTTGGGTACAATTGCAGTATTTTTGCATGGTGATGAGGCTCAATATTGACTGCAATGGATGTTGCAGGAAAGTAAGGAGAATACTTCTAAACATGAAAGGTAAGGTATCCATAAACGTAGGCATCAAAGTCCATAAATTTAACTCTAAATATATATTCCAAAACTAACTATCCTCTTTCCATTTATATGTTGAAGAAATAGAGACACATTTGATTGAGAAGCAGCAGTGCAGGGTAAGTGTGTGTGGGAGATTTGTACCAGCAGATGTGGCAATAAAGATGAGAAAGAAGATGAACCGTCGAGTTGAAATTCTGGAAATTCAAGAGCTCGATGGCACCACTGAACAAATGGAGCAAAGGGCTATGATTGCTACTTGTAAAACACATCAATTATATTGTTAGGGTAAATTTACTTTACCAGGTGGTTTTTTTTCCTTTTTAGTGTGAATACAAAATTTGCCTAGCAGTTAGTAATACATGCCCTTTGAAGCTGTTTCATTTTATCCAACCTACAGGTTGCCCTTTCTGTGGAATTGGGCTCATTTGCTGCATGAAACCATGTTCTGATATCAATTATTAGAAGCCCATGAGTAGAACTTGCTCCTAAAAATCAACTTGTAAGTTGTAAAAAAAGAGTGCCCAAGAGTTGTTAAGTCGTGCTAGAATATGCCATTTTTCCAATGTGGAAACTCGAGTCCTAACATTCCATCACGCTTTCTTTAAGTTCTTTGGTAACAATTTTCATTTATTTATACAAATGAGGCCAAAAAGATAGATATTTGAATATAAGACGCTCTAAATGTTTGACAAAAAAAGGCACCCTAAATTCCAGAGATGGAAAGAAAAATATGTTCGTTTGGCACAATAAGTGGATAAGAAAAAAAAAAGTTTTTATTTTTATTTTTATAAATAGGCCATTCTAATATGACATAAAAAAAACCCTTAGTAAGCTATTTAAAGAGAAACCGAAAACTAGTCACTTGTCATTTTCTAATTGGTTCTTAAATTTTTTTTAAAATACCAAAAACAAATTAGAAAATAGTTAGTTTTAGGTTTTTCTTTTTAAATATACTCTATATACAAATATGAGAGATTTTCAAATAAGTATTTTATGTTAAGGATTAGTTACATACTTCTAATTTTAGTCATTGGATTGCATTTATTAAATATATTGGTAATCTCTTAGATAAAATCTAACGGCCAAGATTAGAAATATGCAACAAATTCTTAACTTAAATACTTATTGGAGCATCTGAATGCAAGTATATTATGCTGAAATGAGCTTTTTATTTTATTTTATAAATATTTAAATAAATAAAAAACTTCGTTTGGCACATGAGCCACCGTGACATTGGACCCGAATAAGGATATCCATAGGTCACGCTGTCAATCTCGAAGTATTTGATTTTCTTCGAAAAGTCATAAAACCAAAAACCATTCTCTCTCGCTCGCTCACATAATTCAGACTCCTCGCAAAACCCAAAATCATAAAACGACAAAAAACCAACCCCTAACCCTAGATTTCCCGGATGGCCAGCGAAGCCCAAGACTCGCATCGCAAGCACCGCCGGGCCTCTTCCTCCTCCGACGAGGCGGAGAAGTCGTCGAAGCGCCACAAGCACCGTCACCACCATCGCCACCACCGTCACCGTCATGGCAGCAAAAAGCGCGAAGGCGATGTCAAGCCGGCCGTTGACGATATTGAAGCTCCTCTGGCGGCTGTTCTGTTATCTTCTTCAGGTGCCAATAGTTCTAGGCCAGATGAAGACGTGGAGGAAGGCGAAATTCTCGAGGAGGAGGGTGTCGGTGGTCACGACGACGGCGTCTTGAAGACGACAGCCGGCTCTGATGCCGAGTCTGGTGAAATTGAAGCTCTTGGAGTTCGCGATCAGTCTGATAATCGAAATCTGGTGTGTTCTGAATGCCCCGTATTATCTTCTGGTTTTTCATTAGTTGGGCCTCTACTTGCTGTTTGGTCACTAAAAAGAGTTTGGAATTTGGAAATTCGAATATTTAATTGTTTCTGGCTAGTTTTCATGAACTCTTTAATTGATTGGTTTTCAAACTTATATAGTTTTTCTTTTTCGTTTCGTTTGCTTGAGATTCAAATCGTTGAAACTTTTGGAAATGTATTTAACTGTTGTTCCGTGGACAAAATATCTATACCTTTCTATGCGTTTTGGACTGTGTGATGAAATTTGTTTGGTGAGAACTTGTTCAAGCTGAGTCAAAGCCATTGTTTCATACATATGTAAGAACCCGCTCTTGCACTAGCCGAACATGAATCAATTGCAAAAGAAGTTTCCCTAGGCGTTTCAATCAATGAAGGCTGATGGCTTACTTTTAATTTGTAAGAGTTGGTTACATTGCATATTAAGTAACTGTTATTTTTTTATTGTGTTTTGCCTGGATTAATGTTAAGTACTGCAATTTGTTCACTTACTTGATTTTCCTTGGTGTGCTTGGCAGGGAATTTTTGTCGATAACATTGATAATAATTCAAAAACCATGAGAGAGCACTGTAGTGACGATGATACTCGAATTCATGTTGGTGGCAAGTCTCGGTATGAGACTGGGTTGCCCAGACATTCCAGTATCGAGCCTCAAGATGATTTAGCTTCCAGATTAGGCATAGAGGATCATGCCAATGGCAATTCCCACCGGTTTCACAAAGAGGAGAAGAGGCGGCACAGGGAATCTGGGTTGCCTTCTAAAGAAAGTGATAAGCGAAAGCATTACTATGATGATGAAAAAGTGGATGATGATAGAAGCAAAGTAGCTAATCGAAAAAAGCCATCTTCTGGAAGTAGTGGAGACAAGCACAAGACCTTGGTACGTTCACCATCTCGTGATAGATGCGGGGATGATTTACATGGTAGGAGCAGATCGAGGTCATATGATCATGTGAGGGAGAGGTCATGCTCCCGCAGTAGAGTAGAAGAGGAGGCCCTTTCTAAAAGGAGACGTTATCAAGAACGAGACACTGCAGTATCTGTAGAGAAAAATAAGGCTACGTTCGACTCTGGTGATGAAGGAGTGGTTCGGAGGCATGACAGTGATGATTTGGCTAGGGATGATGAACGAGAACAGAGTATTAGTTATAGCAGATACTCTGTATCCGATCGTAGCAGAGAGAGAGAGAGGAGTAGGGAGAGGGAGGTGGATAGGATTCAGAGAAGGGAGAAAGAACAAGAAAGGAGCAGAAATAGGGATCGGAGAAGGGATGGAGAAAGAGAAAGGAGTAGTGACAGGGATTTGGTTAGGGACAGGAAAAGGGGAATTGGACGAGATGATAGCAGGGAAAGGAGAAGAGAAGAGCGACATAGGAGCAGAGACATGGAGAACAGGGACAGAAAAAGGGAGGAAGAAAACAATAGGAGCAGGGACCGGATCAAGGCTGATAGGGACAGAGATATGGAGAGGGATCGAGATAGGGACAGAGTTACAGACCGGAAATGGGAGAGGCGAGATGATAGAGACAGGGATAAGGGTCGAGATATGGAGAGGGAGAAATATGAAAATCTTGAAGACAGCTATGGAAATCGAGATAGCAATAAACATTCTGGTCGATCAAGGCATGATGAAAAAGAATACAACCAGGACAGAACAAGAAAAACTGATCCAGCAAAGGTTCAGAGTTCAAACAGTTATGCTGCAGAAGGGATTGAAGAGAGACCAAAAAGGTATTTGCTTGGTTTAACAGTTGCTCCCTTTTCTCTTGTTTGTTTACCTCTTGATGCTTATATTCCAGTTCTTTTTTGTAGAGGTGAAGATGAACAAGAAGACAATGAAGAGAGGGCCACTTTTCAATTTGCTGAGCAGGAAGAGGAAGATCTGAACAGGATCAAGGAGGAGAGTCGAAGAAGAAGGCAAGCGATCTTAGAAAAATACAGAAATCAGCAGTCACAGCAAACAAATGAGTTACAAAAAACTGAGTCACAGTTACAGCAACGAATTGAACCTCAGCCTCTTTTGGAGGGTGTGGATAAAGGTAATTCTAAATTTTCTTTTAAGTCATCGATGTTTACCTAAGCTCTCCTTTCCTTTTAAGCGCATCTGCCCACCATTTGTTGCTATTTGTATGTTTTATAATACTGTTTATGCTATTCTGGGTACTTCAGGGTTACATCCTTACAGTATTATTTATTTATTATAATAATAATGTAAACAAATATGTTAACCAGACAAAGATCCTCAAGATCATGCGACCGAATCAGCTGGTGTTGCCAAATCTGGTGCAGAAACTGATGATGGCAGGAGTGATGAAGATGTGTCTCTTGCTGTATTTTCAATTTCACCTCAGCAGAATGGTGATGTTGCTTCTAGGATGACATCTGGTGCCACTGGGCTTGGAGAGGGTACTCCAAAGGTGAGTCTAGTCTTTCCAAAATTCTGAGTACCCACAGTTTGAAAAATCTTGTTTATTTGAGGAAAACTTAGATTTGTTTGTTGTTGAAACCGTAATTTTTGGTATTTTATGTCCCAACTTGGCTTGAAGCATTTAGGATTTGACTGAGATTTGTGAGTTTTTTAATTTTTTAATTTATTTTCAACTTATGCAGAGTGAAAGATCTGATGTCATTTTCTGTGATGATATCTTTGGTGAGACCCCAGTTGGAGTTAGAAAATCGGTAAGTTCATATGTAAGTTACCCATGCAGTGCACCTTTCATTCTTACAATTATGGTGTGCATATATGACATTTTAGATATTGATAGAGTTCATGAAATAATGTTTATACATCCTGAGTAACTTGCATTTATTTTGGCTGGTATTGTCTTGCATGGGCAACAATGGGAAAGCATTGATCTTGGTTCATGTTGCATGTTACTTTGCATGTCAGTTTACATATGTATCACTTTTCATTGTTTTTTGTCATTTTTGTTGTGGATTTGTGTACAAGAATTGCAGTTTGTTTAATGCCCGGCTTGCAGAAATTTTTGTCTTCTCAGCAGAGTTTCACATGGGCAGTATCTGCAGGATGCAACATGAATGATTCTGTGGAGTGGTTTTTCTTGTTATTTATATTTTTATCATCACTTACTCAAGAACATAAATTTTTTGATAGTTTGTGTTTAGAACACTAAGAGTGATGATTAGTCATGTAGCTTGCAGCTAGACTTAGGTCTTGTGTTTCTTTTCCCTCTGCAGGGCAAAGGAGATGGTGTTCGAATTGAAAGGAGTGGTCTTCATGACAACTGGGATGATGCAGAAGGGTACTACAGTAAGTATATGACCAATCTTTCACATTTTTGTTAGGCTTGTAATGGTCCTTTTCAAGTAACAGTTGCAGTTCCCTTCCTTCCCTTACTCTTCCTGCAGGGTTTAAAAAATCATGCATATAGCCAAACTCATGTTCTCTCTTATTGGTGGAATTAATTTCTGCCAGATTTCCCCCTTTTTTTTTCTCAGTTGTAATTATAATTTTCATACAAAATAAAATAATTCATTTTCTTAATTACCTAGGTTGATATTTCATCCAAATATGATTTTTTATTTTTCTACTGTGTGTATTCATTTCCTTTTCTCATTTAGTATGATGTTGTTTTGAAGGCTACCGGTTTGGGGAACTACTTGATGCCCGATATGAAATTACTGCTGCTCACGGAAAGGGTGTCTTTTCAACCGTAGTTCGTGCAAAGAACCTTAAAGTTGGTAACGGTGAACCCGATGAAGTGGCAATTAAGATTATACGTAGCAATGACACTATGTAAGTGATTATGATACCAGTTATGTTGGTGCTGGTTTTGGTTATTATCTTGTATATCCATTATTTGGCCTTTTTCCTTGGGACTTATTGCTGCTTTTATGTAGGTACAAGGCTGGTATGACGGAGTTGGCCATATTGAAGAAATTAGTAGGTCAAGATCCAGAAAATAAGCGCCACTGTGTTCGTTTTCTATCAAATTTCAAGTATCGAAATCATCTTTGTTTAGTTTTTGAATCTCTTCATATGAATCTCCGTGAGGTCTTAAAGAAGTTTGGGCGCAATATTGGTCTTAAGCTAACTGCTGTGAGAGCATATGCCAAGCAACTTTTTATTGCACTGAAGCATCTAAAAAACTGTGGTGTTCTTCATTGTGATATAAAGCCAGATAACATGCTGGTAGGTTGTTGCTATTCTTTCATGATTGGATTTATTCCGAGTCATTTATGTCACTCATAATATATCTATGTTCCAGGTAAATGAGGCTAAAAATGTGCTGAAGCTTTGTGATTTCGGTAATGCCATGTTTGCTGGAAAGAACGAAGTTACACCGTACTTAGTCAGCCGCTTTTACCGTGCCCCTGAAATAAGTAAATTTTCTTATCTTTTTGTTGAGCTATCATTAAAAAAAAAAAAAAAAAAAAAAAACTTCCTTGGTTAGTATGTTCCACCTGAAATTTTGATCGGGTCTTTGATATGTCTTGGTTGCAGTTCTTGGCTTGTCTTATGATCATCCATTGGATATCTGGTCAGTTGGTTGCTGTTTGTACGAACTCTCTACCGGAAAAGTTCTTTTTCCTGGTGCTACAAACAATGATATGCTACGTCTTCACATGGAATTGAAAGGGCCATTCCCAAAGAAGATGCTTCGGAAGGCATGTATTTGGTTTGATAACAATTTTTTTTGGAAGTAAAAACATATCAGTGCAAAGCAAGGAACATAAATTCTTGTTACTGGTTCTTCTGTATGTTTTATATGCTAATATTACATTACTGTTTTAATTGTTCTCCATCTAAAAACTGTTCTTTTTGTTAATGTCCTTTTTGTCTTTTGTTTTCTACTTACAGGGAGCATTTACCCATCAACATTTTGACCAGGATCTGAACTTCCATGCCACAGAAGATGATCCTGTTACAAAGAAGGTATGCATCTGTTCTCTGGCTTGTTTTTATGTATGTCCAGTGTGACATCTTGAGTTGTCAAGTATTAGAGTAATGTGGTTTCCTATCGAGTTTATGAGGTTTAAATTCTGCTTATGCAGACTATCAAACGGGTGATTCTCAATATGAAGCCAAAAGATATTGGATCGATTATTACAGGTTCTTCTGGTGAGGATCCAAAGATGTTGGCCGATTTTAAAGATCTTTTAGATAAAATGTTTGTGTTGGATCCAGACAAGAGGTTGACAGTATCACAAGCTTTGAGCCATCCATTCATCACTGGCAAGTGAACCCTGTTGCTGATTTTCTGACTCCAGAATTCCTGTTCCGCTAGATATTTGTACATTTTGACCTAATTCATACAGTTTCTAATCATTGGGCATTATCTCTCTTCTCTGTGATGGCCTGAGAGCTTTGACACAGTTTTGGCATGGTTGAAGTCAAAAGGGGTGATGTTTGGTCAGGAGTACTCATTACTGGCGGGTTCTTTCAGTGGAGTGTACTGTTTCTATTGTAAGACAACTAGCCAAAGGCGTCTTTTCCCCCTGTAATCATTCATGATTGGCCAATGTGAAAATTATTTACATCTATTATAATTTTCCATCATGATTATATGTGTACTTGGAACATGGTTTCTGCAATTCAATCTGTTGAACAACAGAGGATATATTTATCTTCATGAACAACAAAACATGCTTGAGCTTTTGCCAAAGTTTTGGGTTTTTTTATACCTGTTTTACTTTGCTTCCTTACCATGTACTTTTTGTATATATTTTTCCTTTGTTGCTTGTATTGAAGTTCCATTGTTAAAAAATAATTGTGGTATTTAGAACTTATGTTATGATTGGTTGAAGGTTTGTTTAACATCCTTCCCTTTCATGTCCTTTTTGTCAGTTGTATCTTTATTGCCACTTTATTTTAATTACTTTGGTTCTGGAGATTCTAATTTAACTTTTCATTCAGGATATGTGCCATTGCTTTGAGGCAACACTCCAGTGCTTAGATGCTTAAAAGGAACCCAGGAGAAGGTACCTTGGTTTGTTTATTGGGAGAATATTGTGAGGGACTTGAAAGTAGATGTCACTGTGTTGCATGGTTTGTCTTTATGTTGTTCCTACATAAAAGCTTCTTTGTAAACTTGGAAATTTATTCAAGCTGAATCGAACAGTGTCACTGCCATAGATTTGATAACTTTTTATAATAGTCTTTTTTCTTTTTTCTGGGTGTTTTCTATTTGGTTTGCTTTTGAGATTGTGAGAGTTGTTAATTTGTTTATTTACTATAGTATTAGTTATCCGGTTTCAGACCCAAATAAAAAAATAGTATTAGTTATCCGGAAAGTGTAGGTGCATGTACATGCATTCTGAAATATGCTGTGGTTTTTCTGGAACATGGGTCAATTGATGACTTGTACCTCGCCATGTTTGTTTTCTTAGGTGTCAAACTAAATCCATGTAATTGTATTCTGGCATGTATGTTTTGTCGGTCTTTGTCTGGGCTTGAGGGTTTTCTATGTTACTTCTTTTTGTTTGTCTTACATTCAAAATATGCATATCCTAATGAGATTGCATTGCATCTGATCCATGGTCATTCTGGAGGCTCTTGCACAGGAGGCATGTGGCTGCTGCCGGATCCAAAAGATATGAGTAAGTAATTTAATCTATGAATTCAGTTTTGTCCTTGTGGGCTGTGTATTTCATTAAGATCTATAGTTTTAATCTTGATTTTTATGTTTTAGGGTATGGCCCCCATGCTCCTGCACTACTTGTAAGTATATTCAAAGCATAAATTTGTCTATCTGGGTACTTTTTGTGTTTATTGTGTCTAGTGTAATTTTCACTTCGTATTCTTTGATTGGCTATTTACTTCTTGATTTTTTCTAAATCCATAGATTGCATTCTAATTTGTGTAACAAAATTCTTTAGACTTGTGTCTGGTGCCTGTAATGCTGAGATATTCTGATATGATCCATTGAGAGGTTGTATACCGTTATGGCAGTGGGCGCAACCTTGTGTCTGTTTCAATGAATAGGAATATAAAATACACAATGATTTAAAGTAAATAGGGGCCTAATATAAACATAATTTAATTTGTATAAATAAACTAAAATATAGTTAAAGAAAGTAATTTCCTTTGAAACTAATGTAGTTTGTGGATGTGCGCGTAACCTTATTTTAATTTCATGAAATTGTTGTCCAGCACTTTTGAACAGCTGTCTTCAGGTTCCTTCGATAGGCTATTTTTGTGTTGTATCTGTTGGCTTAAAAAATATCTGGATATGTTCTTTTGGAAAGTGTTACTTGTGCAGGTGTGTTTTTATTTTATTGACTTTCCAATATGTTGGTTTTCTTACCACCCAATCATCTGTCGCAACCTTCTTATCTTCAGTATGCGGGAATGGTTTTTTTGTTCATCTATAAAGAATAGCTGCTCTATTCAAATTTCTAATTTCTCTGTTAGCTTATTTGGTATTCTTTTATCACAAAGGATATCATTGGCTTGTGTTTCGTTTGTCCATTTGGTTATGATTCATCCTTTTATTTCTGCCATTTTTCATCATTGAATTTAAAAGAACTTGAAAAGGTCAAAGACTAGTTTTGTTTTTATTCTAAATCAAGAGACTAAGATTATATGAACCCTTGAAACCATAAGAAACTTGCATATGACCTACAGCCGTTCAAATAACTCAAGAAAATAACATAAAAAGACAAAATCCCAACTAATAGGCAGCTAGAGTTCTGGTACAGTACCCCAAAAATCCATAAAATTGTCGTCTGCTATACTGTTGGGGGGGCATGCTACTTGGTGTGTCATTTTGTCCCATGGAATATGTGCGTATGATATCTGTTAGGCAGGTGTTTCTGCACCCAACAACATTCAAGGATCCATAAAATTTGATTTATTTAGCAATTGGCACATATGTTCCAGAGTGGGAAATGTAAAGAGTAGGACGCCTGCAAGCTGTCCCCAAGGCAACCGATTTAAATTCAGTGGTAGGATCCCCAAGGGGTGGGGGGAACAGTATTTGGCTTGGATTGCTTTTATTTTGATTATATGTGGGGAAGAAACTTTGTAACTCTTGAGATCTGGAGAGCAGTGGCATACTCATCCAATGGGTCTTTTGCCAAATTCATAGAAAATGAGGCGTGTTTTAATCAATTGCAGGCTCTGTTTCTTTTTGGTGATGGGCTTATTAGATTTTAAAAAAAGCTACTACTGTGTGTCCATTTCTGACCTAAATATTGTAACTTGTTATTTGCCTTGTCCATTGTTTTCAATTATTACTTTTCAGTTGGAGCTTTTGGAGTAATTGATAAACTCGATTGTTATATCAGAAACGGGTGTTTAGCTTATGGTGTAATAATGTGGATTGGTATAGATAGTAATTTTGTTCATGAAAATCATAAACATATGCCGGTCTAATAAATGACAGATGTATTCTTGTTCTTGTTCCATTTGTAACCTGAGATCAATTCTTTCTATTATATATAATGGTAGAAAAGGGAAGGAAAATGTCCTTGTTCTAATATGATTTTCTTTTGATTTTATCGTTTGATATCTTGCCCTTGTACAATAATAACTATCCACAACCTGTATCTTGGATGAACTTTCATCTTCAGTATGCAATGTCAATTATACTACCATGAGTGTAAAGTTCCACCGTCTTTAGTTTACACTCTCGCGTCAGTCATGGTTACCTTAAACCATTCTTATATTTTAGAGGGTTCTGCCTTTTTTCTTTGCTTAATCAATGAGGAGACTTGTGGAAAATAACAATTTTATGTTAACGTGTATGATTCCACAAGTCTAATGCAAAGTAACCAAGCAGGTTCACACAAAAGTAAATTGACTCTGCTGCAAAAAAGATATATATAGGGCTTGTGAGTATAATTTGAGTACTTATATTGCGTGATCTGTGCGGCAAAGACAACTGTTTACAACCTTCACTACGCAGCCTAATTGTTACTTTTTGTTATATTCAATCAAATCTAGTGTGATGGTATGAATTGTGTTTAAAATTGTTGTGAGGGAATTGAAATTTTATATGCAGCCCTTGTCGTGTCGCTTGATTCATATAACAAAAGAGAAGAAAATGGTAGAATAGAGCCGCCCGCCATTTTTAATAATATAATGATCCGATGGTAACAAGCTACCAAAAGCCCTTTCCGCCAGTGGTGTTAAATTGTCAATTACGTGGGCCACGGACTTTGATAAGTTTACCCTTCTAGACTAGTTGGCAGGTTCCGTCTGTGGTCAAATGGAGATTGACGAATTCAAATTAATAGGTTTCTTGCAATTTTTGGGTTCAGTCTTATAAAAGATCGCTAAGAAGCTTCCACTTCATATCCATTTCTCCTCACAAGTCACCAAGACCACACTCAAAAGTGCCCTCAGCAATCGCCATCCCTACTAACTTGTCGGGTATAGGCCTTAGAGGATAATCCTCCTATACGGGCAAGTATTATTTCTATTTTGTTGGTTGTGTTATTCATTTGGCCACTGCTAAGTAATGGGTCCACTGCTAATACCGAACCACCAAATTGGGAAGATTGAGGAACAAAGTTGATCCATCCTATGTAGTATATATATATACCCTACACATTTAGGAATTACAGCAGAATTAACATTCATTAGAAATTGTTTTCGTCTCCTAATTTCACCAAAATCCTCCTCAATAGGCAGAACCAGGACCAGTTTGTTCAGATCTGGGAAGCACTCTGCATAGTTGCCTAGCCACTAGAGCAAAACAAGAAGCTGTTACTTACCATAAACAAACCCATTCCATAAAAAGATTTCATTTCGCGGCGACTGTGATCCACGTGTCCGTAGTGCGTCTGACCAACTGGATGCTTTCTGGCTCTCTTCGCAGAAATTGTCCATCTAAGACTAATAAGCCGCGTTTTATTAAACAACGTCTACATTTGCATCATCTCCATCTAGAGACTTAGCCCTTAAGCCAAAAAGTCCACAAAAACACTTAAACAAAACACGTAAGCAGCGAAGAGGCTCCATGTACTCATAGAAAGTCGTACAGTCACCGAGTCATTCGTGCTTTCTCTCAATCGTCGTCATCTCGTAAAGGAGCAAACGATCCAGGGCTCGTTTGTTGGGTTGTGCCTGGAATTATACAGAAGAAAGAAGGCGATATGGGAAGAAAGCTCGATGCTTTGCTCGGAAGGACTTTCAAGACCTCCAAGCTCAAACCACTTTTGAATCTTGCTCTGTCTCGCCTTGCTGTCCTCAAGAACCTGCGCCAGGTCAAGTTCTCCCAAGCCCGCTCTGATGTTCTTCAGCTCCTCCAATTTGGTCATCATGAACGAGCTCTTCTTCGGGTAGGATTTATATTTTCTTCTAACTTTGTGATCAAATCTTTTTCTGGGTAACTTATTTTTCTCGTTGACTTTGCGACTGAGAGGCTCTGTTTTGATGTTGGCAGGTGGAGCAGGTGATTAAGGAGCAGAATATGTTGGATGTGCTTGTCATGATAGAGCGTTACTGCAACCTCGTGATTGAAAGGGTTCACCTCATTGAACAAGAAAGGTTTGCTAGTGATCTCATTTAATTACTTTTTGTGGTGTTATATTCATGCATAGCTTTGCTAGGCTGATCATCAGATAAGCTTGTGGTTTGGTTTATTTACAGAGTATGTCCTGATGAACTGAGGGAGGCAACGTCGAGTTTGCTTTATGCGGCTTCAAGATGTGGGGATTTCCCAGAGCTTCAAGAGATTCGTACGGTTCTCACCTCTCGTTTTGGCAAGGAATTTGCCGCTCGTGCCATTGAAGTGCGCAACAATTGTGGAGTCAACCTTACGGTATGTATTTCCTTTTTTGGGAAATGAATATATGAATTTGTGAAATTGTTCAATGAGATAAGAGAAACACCAAATATGACATAAATGAGATCTTGTTCCTTTTTGCCATTAGAAGAAAAAAAGAAGAAAAGGGAAAAGTCTCTGACTACTTTTGCCACTTTTCCCCTGTTAATAGTTGCATATTTTTGTGTGGATATTGGGTTTCTGTAGATGATGCAAAAACTGTCAACTAGGATGCCAGTTTTGGAGATCAGAGTGAAGGTGCTCAAAGAAATTGCTGCAGAGAACAGCATTGTTCTGCAGCTGGAGGAAACTACTTCTGTTTCCACTGAGGTATGCAACTCGAAAACAAAAACAGGAATTACAAGAGGAATAGAATTGAACTGTCATTTGCTCTGAGACTTTGACAATTATGTATTCATGGCATGTGGTTTGTTCTGTGTGTGTGTGTGATCAATAACGCAGGAGAAGTTGGATGTGAACAAGAATCAAAACCAGGCTGCACCAAACCCACCGGCCAGTTCAAGTGGCACGGCATCAGCGGATAATTTGCAGGCTCTCTCTCAAGAGACAGAAAAAGATGATAGGTTCTCTGGTTCACTTAAGAACAGGAAATACAAGGATGTAGCTGATGCTGCTCAAGCAGCTTTCGAGTCTGCAGCTTATGCGGCAGCAGCTGCAAGAGCAGCAGTGGAACTGTCTAGGTCTGAATCTCATGATCCTGATGATCAAACTAGTCCCGGTAGTAAACGAGGAAGGTTATCTGACAGATATGAGTCCTTTAAAAGTGAATCTGAATCACAAAATGAGCAAAATCGAGGTGAAGAATTGAAGAGGTCAACATCTTCTTCAAGTTTAGATTCAGATGGAGATGCCATGGTCCATGCCAGTCTTTCAGGGAAGGATATAGCGTTTGATGAGAGTGAGAGTGACAATGAACGAAGTGCCATGCCCCCATCTCATAAGCAAATTCCTTCAAGGTTTCAATCTGGGCTGAAGGTTGAGTCAGCACATGCTGCTGGAGGGTCTGGAAGGCAAAGCCCACCAAGATTGAACATAGAGAAGGCACCATTCTCTCTGAGGACAAGAGGGGTGCGTGGGTACTGAGAATCATTAGTCTTGTTTGTTGGTTTTGCTAATAAATTATGTCGTCTATAAATTTGATTGTTTCTTGATCTTTGATTTTTTTGTTTTTTGTTGTTGGTGGAAATTTAAACTTAGTGTGATAATTTTTGAAACATCGGTTTTTCAGTTCTAATTTGTTGATATTGTGAGGTCTCAAAATTGTAGTCTGGGAATTGAAGTGGATTCTACTTGTACATGGGCATGAGTGCACAAATTTCCTCAACTTGAACTCCTTCGATTCAACACCCTTGAATTACAATTTGCAACATAAACACAACCCCAAACAAATTCTTACAGGAAAAAAAATTGAGAAGGCACCGTCTAACATTCACTTCTGACAGTGTTCGAAAAAAGGGCCTAGGCGCCAGGCGGGAGGACACCGCCGCTCTTTCACCCTAATCGTTAGGGGTAGGCACCAGGAGTTACTTTTCTTTGTAGCTGCTGCTGGGCTCATCTTATTTCAAAGGTGCGCAAGAGGAGATATGGAGGCAGAGAAAGAGGAGAGACACGAGGGAGGTAGAGAGATAGGAGGTGATGGAGGCGGAGAGATGAGAGATAAGTGAGGACCATTTTTAGGCTTCGATTCAGAGCTTGAGGAGGGTTATTATTAACAATCAGTGTTTAACACCGTTCATGCATGGATTATTTGATTCGAACCTAACGGAACCAACTTTTCAATCCATTTCTTCAAGATCTGGTGGTGCCAAATTAAAATGGAAACATTAGATTGGACTCTAATTCAGATTGCAGATCCTGGGTTAGAATATCATGGGGAGATAATATTCTATTTAAAAGCGTATAGCCGCGCGGCTATAATGTTATACTCTGTTCTTCCATTTTTTTTAGAAGAAATCGTATAGCCGAGCGGCTATACCTGGATATCCCCAATTTAAAAAAAAAACTTTTTTTTAAAAATGGTATCACTACACGGCTTTACTCGGCTATTTTTCAAAAAAGAAATAGTATCACCGAGGGCTATACTCTTTAAATATATACGAATATTTAAAGAGTATTCCCGTTTGGCTATACACTTTTAATATATTTGAATATTTTAATCGTCTAGCCGCCCGGCTATACCCTTTAAATATATACGAATATTTAAAAATATATTTAAAGCGTATAGCCGCCCGGCTATACGTTTTTAATATATTTAAATATTTGAATATTTAAATAATATAGGCGCACGAGTATACGATTTAAATATATATACAAATATTTAAAAATATATTTAAAGAGTATCGCCGTGCGGCTATACGCTTTAAATATATACGAATATTTAAAATACAAATTTATAAATAAACCCAATCCTATACATGTATTTATAAAAAAACCCAAACACTATTTAAACATAGAAACATACTCAAAATTAACCCAAAAATCAACAATTGTATATTTTTTGGGTGTGTTTATCAATGGATTTTGAGTGTGTGTAATGATGGGTTTTGGGTGTGTTTATAAAGTGTTTTGGGTGTTGGGTTTTTTTATAATTTCAACCCCCATTTTGGGTGTTTTAGTGAAACTCCCTATTTAAAAACATATTAGTATATGCGCACGGCTATACTCATATCTTTTCTTCTGTCAAAATCAAAATACATTTTGCAAAAGCTCAATGCTCTCCGGTATAGCCGCATGGCGTTACTGGTTCCTTTTTTAAAAAAATTCTTTTTTATAAATAATGTAGCCGTGCGGCTATACTCTTTACCTAGATACTGTAATATTTTTTTTAAAATTGTTTTTCCGAGATTTTTGTTTATCGATAAGAGTAGTTTAGAGTATCCCAACCTACGCTGGAATTTAGGAAATGCCAATACAATTTTCATACAAACCTATTTCATGAAATGAAATTAATAGAACAACACCACCATGAATCACATTATAATAAGCCAAGAAACTTAATAACAAATCAAGAACACTAACCTCGATTAGAAAAGGCAAATGAATACGTGCATTAATTACAACCCTATTTTATGGAGAGAAATGAACATAATCTTTCCAAATTTAATGTAAATTGTAATTAGCAATAAATCAGATTTTCAGTTGAATTAGGAAACATGCTGAGTTGAATCCTAGTTATTTCTTATTTGTGAGGTACAATAACTCTAGGCTAAGCTAGGCCAAAGCAGGGTGTTAGTGATCAGGTTGGGCCCCCAAAATCATAGAAATTTCAAAACCATTTCAAAGAGGAGTTGAAGAACAGAACCCAAAGCAGAAATGGTTGGGGCGGTTGAGAACGCCAAGAGGGGTTCGTCCAAAAAAAGGTGAAGATAAGGTTAGTGAAACGCTGTGTTTCACTTATGGGCTGGTACTTTTACAAAGTTCTCTTATGGGCTTGGGCTCATATACTAAAACATAACCTAATTGTGTTTTTATTTCAACTCATTGCTTTATATGAAAGCATATGTCATATGACTCATATATATACATTTTTATATATTAATTTTGGAATAAATTTATAATTTATAATTTATAAGACAAAATAATACATGCCTAGGACTTTGTGTCTTGGGTAAGTATAAGTACGTGCCTAGGATAGGTCCTCTTTCAGAATTGGCTCATACATCATTGCAAGATGAGCTAGACACTATAACTCGGCTCAAAAACCAATAGAGCTAGATAAATTGTATCATATTTATAATTTGTAAAAGGTTTCAGCATGTTAAATCAGTAAACTGTCGATTTATCAACGAGGATACATAACGTAAGCCTAAATATTAATCTCCAGAGCATGCAAAATATACATTACATACATTTGAAGCAGATCATCCTTTGCTACGAAAGCCAGGCAACTCATTTCCAAATCGTTGACTATGCATGGCTTCATCAGAAAAAAAAACTCACTGGAGTGGAGGCCGCTTTGCACACTGTTGTTGCAGGTCACCAGATGATCGCTTCTTGCCACGTTGTAGCAGGTCACTATATGACTGCAAACTCACACCAACATCTTCATCATATTCAAGCCCGATCTCCTCCTGCAATAACATAACAGACTACTTACAACTACACCATAGCATAATGCCTAAGTTCATAAGAACACAGAAGATCCCATATAGGCAAACCTTAAATTCCTTGACATCTTTAGGTGAATTCTCAGTAATAGAATCCCACAGATCTTTGAACATCCTTTTGCGCTTTCTCCATTGACTTATTTTCTCATAGACTATTTGCTCAACTGCCTTGCGGTCTTCTGGCTTGACCAAGGTAACTCCTCCACGCAATTTTTCCAATCTGTCCTCCATTTCATTAACCTAATACAGAATTCAAAACTCCACACTTCATCCATATTCCATAGCCTCTTTTTCCCAGACACATATTTTGACTAATGTAATGTCAAACATATCCAATTAGCTTACCTCATTTGTCAGTTTGGCTTCTTTCTCCCTTATTTGTTCCAGGGTCAAATTTGACTGCAAAGCTTTAATTTCTGCAACAACGGTGCAAAACGACAATTCAAATTCACAAGGCAAAGTCTTAAACCGAGAATGAAAAATGTCGACTGCACTCAATTCTGGAAAACATGAAACGTAGTAAAGAATTTAACATGTACCTCCCTCAACCTCGCTAATCGATCTCTTTTGTTCACCCAACTGTTCTTGCAGTTTTTCATTTTCTTGCTTCATCCGGCTGAGCTCCTCACTGTTTGGAATGTCGAATTGGTCTTGCCGAGCAAGGTATACCTTCTGCTTACCATACTCCTTGAATGAAATCTTCGCATTATCAGCAAGAGTATCCAGAGCTTTTTGTATGGCTGCCTTTTTGAGGTTGTATTTTTGCAATGCATCCGCCACATTTTGAGAATTCAGTGGCCTATTTTGCTGGATAAAGAGAGACAAGTTTACATGAGCATTAGGGAGAGCACATACTGTGCCTAGTGTCTTCTGTTTGTTTCCCTAGAAAATATCTGCACAACTTTTTAAATTTCTTAACTTATTTTCTTCATAGTAAAACTATAGGGAAACAGAGGCAAACAACAAAAAACAACAAGAAAAAGAAAATTAATCACAACTGACTTGTGGAGGAAGCTCAGTTGAGCTCAATCATGAGAAATTCGATTTTCCCACCTCCCAAACAGCCAAAAAATCGGAAGGGAAAAATACACATTTCATCAATTCAATAAGAAAAAAATAATTCGATCCAGACAAAGTATATAATAATCGGAGAAACGAAAGTGATAAGACCTAAACGCAGACGATTAATGATAAGAAATTTGATTTTACCTCATTCAAGTATCTGAGAACGATAGCTGCAATATTTCGTAAAACCAAAGCAACAAGACGTTTAACATTCAGTAAAACCAGATTGAAAATCAAATCAGCTCAACAAAAAAGAAGCGTTCACGAATTTGGTTACCGTCGGTGCTATCGGATTTGGGAGCCATTGATCGGAAACTGTACGGAAAAGGGCGGGAAGAAGCTTCTGAAAGCTTTTGCTTTCGTTTTGAAATGGAACGAAAACAAAGGCCTTTGCCTCCTAAAACTCGTAGGCTAATAATGGGCTTCCATTTTCGTGACGGCGTCGTCTGCCTCTTTAAATGTCGAGTGTTTGATTGGACAAATTTACCCCCGGATCAAATACCGAATTTACATAAACAACAATTCGTTAATTTGGGGTCGTGAGGCATGCCACGCAATGTCGTTTCGTTCTCAGAAACGATGGCCGTCATCAGCAGCACAACATCTCAGCCTTTGCTCTGCACCAACCGCACCATTTTCTCAACCAAACTCTCCTTCAGCCCTCGTTCCAAGACCCATTTTTTCACTCAAAGGCCAGTTTTTGCGGCACTGGACCTCCAAAAGTGGCCTTCACAACAATCACCCGCAACCCACAATAGGGACTCTAAATTGAAAACACTTGTGTGCCGCGCGGCTCGTCGAAAACCCACAACCACTGTTCAACAGGAGAATGATAGCTCAGAGAGACTGCTTCAGATTGTTCTGTGGGTTGCTGAGGCAGTCTACATTTTGTGGCTTTTTCTCCTTCCTTATGCTCCCGTGTGTAAATGTAGCCTTCTTTTTTACTTGACTAACATTCTTATATACAATCTTAGCTGATGAAGTTTTTTGCTTTTCATATTACAACAGGGAGACCCAGTGTGGGCTATAAGTTCTGATACAATGAATTCTCTTGTGGGGCTCTCTCTGAATTTCTTCTTTATCTTGCCTCTTTTGAACTCTGGTAAGCTCAACTGGGTCATATTTGTTATTGATTTTTCTGGGTTCCGCTCTTCTAGACAAATACTGATAAAATTCTTATTAATTTTTCTCATGATGAATTCTGAAATGAACTTTTTGGCAGAGTAGTTACTGCTGGTTTGATTAATGCCCCAGTTCTTCACCCGGTAAGAATTTGTCATTCCAAGTAAAAGTGGTTTTTACTACTTAGTTTCATAATTAAAGCATTTTTTTATTATCATAGGCCAATGTTTTTCTGTTTATGCGTTTGTATTAGATGTCAGAAGGGCTATTCAACTTTGTAATTGGGTGGACATTCATGTTTGCCCCTTTGCTGTTCACGGATCGTAAGAGGGACAGATACAAGGGGTCTCTAGACGTCTTATGGGGCTTTCAGATGTTTCTTACAAATAGTATGCTTTCTTCCAAACTCTCGTATTTGAGGATTGAGTGAGTGTTGGATTAGCTTAACCATGTAGGTCACATGCAACTATCTTTACCTTCAATAGCCTACGCAGAAAATATGTACAGAAAGCAACAACCTTTTGTTTAGCATATCATCTTGTTAATTTCTCAATCAAGATCATGCATTGTCCAACTGTCTAGGAAAGACAAATTATATATGTGATTGTAGGCTAATTTGATAATCTATGATTTCAAGTTTACTTTGTAATGAGCATGGTTTAGACTCCAGCTACATTTCCACCAACCTTATGTCCTAATTGTTTCGTATGTGATGTGAACAGCTTTTTAATACCTTACATGGCTATTCGGCTAAATGAGGCTGAGTCAGACTATACTCCGACCAAGCGCTCACAACTTGGGTCTGTGATGACCAATGGTGCTCCCATTGTCGGACTTGTTGGTGGAGCGATATGTCTGATATCTGCATTGTGGGCTCTTTTTGGCCGAATGGACGGCAACTTTGGGAGCATTTCAGACAGATGGGAGTTCTTGATAAGTTATCTAGGATCAGAGAGGCTGGCTTATGCATTCATTTGGGATATTGGTCTGTACACTGTCTTCCAGCCTTGGTTGATTGGTGAAAATCTTCAAAATGTTCAGAGCAGTAAGATTGGTATTGTAAATTATCTTAGATTTGTGCCAGTGGTTGGCTTAGTTGCGTACGTTGTTTGTTTGAATCTGGATGAGGAACTGTAACTACACGTTCGTTACCGTGCACAATAATAGCAATGTAGCTCACTGATATTCCAGTGGATTAAATGTAGATCTGTAACTTTATTATATTTCAAGAGCAGATCAGGCTTCCTCTATTCATCCCAGGACAAAGATAGCAGTGCCAGAAATGGTACCACGACATGAAAATGTGAAGCTTCCTCTATTCATCTCAGGACAAGAAGACAATGTACAAACAGAAAGACAGGGGAATGAAGTTTCCCCTCTATTCTCTAAAGGGTAAAAGGCCATGGGGCCAACAATTTTTGCCATACATTATTTTTCACCAGAGGCAGAGTCATGCATGCTAGAATTACCTAAATAAAGTAAATGGAAAATAAAATTGAATAAGAGTAATAATGGGAAATCAAATATATTTGCATGTGACTCACCGGCCCCGGGCTATCATATTGTTTTTGTCAGATATAAACCAACAAAATGCTTTGTCAAGTTGTGAATAATGAAGTTTGCTCCAATAACGAGTCACTCTCTGGTGTGAGATTTTTCCTTCTTATTTCTTTTCTCAACACTGAAGCATTTTCTTTTTGCCAAATATAAACCAATAAATTGTGTTTATTATTTTCCTCACTTTTAGTTTTCAAGTTCTTGCTTGCTAATTTGTAGTGCTCTGCTGTTTGTTGGGGCATGGAAAATTCTCTTTTGGGCAGCTTCAAAGCAGAAAGCAGATGCACATGTTTCAATTTGATGAAGTATTGGAAAGATTTACTAGACTTTGCTAGTAAAGCATGGGAAATGGGCCGCTCTGATCCCAGGAAAGTCATCTTTGCAATAAAAATGGGACTGGCTTTGTCCATTGTTTCTCTGCTAATATTTTGGAAAAAATCATATCATGACATTGGTCAGTACTCAATCTGGGCTATCCTCACGGTCATTGTGATGTTCGAGTTTAGCATAGGTATAAACATTTGACTTCAAAATGCAACGTCACAGTTCAGGCTTTTAGTTTTTCTTTTTAACGTAACATTAATCTTATTTTTTATTTCATGCAGGAGGGACTTTCATTAAGGGATTCAATCGTGGGTTGGGAACATTGTTTGCTGGAATACTTGCCTTCTGCTTTGCTGAGCTATCTTTGCTGGCTGCAAACTTGGAAGAAGTTGTAATTGTTATGAGCATTTTCATCGTTGGTTCGTACTAGTATTTGCAAACTAAAACCATATTTAAACTTAATCTCCTTTGAAATATTTGGTTTTTCCACTTTTCTAACTCTGATTCTTTGAGCCCCTTCAGGATTTTTCGCATCTTACTTGAAGCTGTACCCAACAATGAAGCCCTACGAGTACGGCTTTCGGGTTTTTGTGTTGACATATTGTATCCTCATGGTTGCTGGGAACAGAACAAGGGAATATAATGAGGCAGTTGCGACTCGATTGGTGCTTATTGCAGTGGGTGCTGCTGTTTGTTTGGTTGTGAACATATGCATATACCCCATATGGTCAGGAGAGGATCTGCATAACTTGGTAGTGAAAAATTTCAAGGGAGTTGCGGCTTCATTAGAGGGTATATATATGTTTCAACATTGCATGCATGTCTTTGTATTCACTGAAAATTTTCAACTCCTAATTAGCCTTCTGCTCTATTAATTTATCCAACTTTGTTGCTCAGGCTGTGTTAATGGGTACTTGAAGTGTACTGGATATGAGAGGATCCCATCAAAAATTCTTACATACCAAGCTGCAGATGATCCGCTATACAAGGGCTACCGATCCGTGGTAGAATCTACGAGCCAAGAAGAAACTCTGGTATGATTTGTCCGACTTGGACAACATTTGGGTTTTTATTTTTCTAGAGCCGAAGCAGGGGAGTTGTTAATTACTTGACATGTTTTCCACAAGTGCAGTTGGGCTTTGCAATCTGGGAACCACCTCATGGGCGTTACAGAATGTTGAAATATCCTTGGATAAATTTTGTCAAACTAAGTGGTGCACTGAGGCATTGTGCATTTATGGTTATGGCTCTACACGGATGCATTCTTTCCGAAATACAGGTGACTATGTTTATGTTTTTGTATATTCAACCAGTTCTTTCTTTGGTAAAAAAACAAAAACAAAAACAAAGCTTTTTATAAGATTATTGGCTTGTAATTTTGTACATGCATGCAGGCCCCAGCAGAAAAGAGGCAGGTCTTTTGTAGCGAGCTCCAGCGGGTAGGAGCAGAAGGTGCAAAAGTCTTGCGAGAACTTGGAAAGAGAGTAGAGAAGATGGAAAAGCTAGGCCCTGGCGACATACTCAAAGATGTGCACGAGGCAGCAGAGCATTTACAGAAGAAGATAGACCAAAAATCGTACCTTCTGGTCAACTCAGAGAGGTGGGAAATTGGAAGACGGCCTAAACAGCTAGAAGAAGACCCTCAAAGGCTTTTGGATGCTAAGGAACATGATGATATGCAATTGGGTTTTAAGTCCTTAAGTGAAACTGTGCTTGACCTGAGGCCAGTTACAACAGCATGCACACCTTGTGCACCACAAAGTGCTTCATCAGACAACATGTTTAGGGATCAAGCATCTTGGCCCTTGCCTCTCTCATTTGGTGGCCATGGAGTCATTAATGAAGATGATTGCAGAACATACGAAAGCGCAAGCGCCTTGTCCTTGGCCACATTCGCATCGCTTCTGATCGAGCTTGTTGCCCGGCTCCAAAATGTGGTTGACACCTTCCAAGAACTTGGGGAGAAAGCAGACTTTAAGGTGCCTGTTCTTAATGCACCGCCTACAAAGAAATCTGGGATTTGGCCCTGGTAGAGGCAGATTTGGTGTTTCAGGTACAAAACTTGAGATGGGTTGGGTGTTTAATTCAAACTACTGGCTTCCATTTTCCTCATCATATTCTTCCAATTACTGGTTGAAGCTTCTGAAAATCTTGTGGCATTCGATTGCGTTATTACTTCAACCTAATGGGAAACGTTATTGAAGTTGGGCTGAATGCTTATTTTATATAGCAGAAAATTCCAATCTTGAAAATGTAAGATCCTAATTCCAAAACATTCATGCAGTTCGTTAACTACATTGAAAATTGCTCGTTAAGTTCTTTTGTTTAATACATTTGATTTGTATGTTTAGATAATGCCTTGCATACATGATAACATACTGGACGCACAGACAAAAATGAGTCAAGTTTGATCAGATCATACACATCCAACACTCATCTATGAGGCAACATATCACAACCCACAATTCAAAATATCTAAGAATGCTTGCGCTTGGATTTCTTTTTGGAAGGTTCTCCAGACTCCGCAATATATGCTTCTGCATTTACATTCTCAGCCGAGTTTTGTCTTCCATACTCTTTTGCTTTTTTCTGCAAAACAACCAGCGGATGCAATTAACAAAAAAGAGGGAAGGTAGAAAGAAAACAAGAAGAGACCCATGTTTTTCTATTTGGATCAAAATGTGACCCTTCAGCCTGTCATGCCAATTTCAGAATGTATAATGGAGTTCTATAGATCATTTCAATTTACCTTTAAAGATATGGCCATGGCAGCCAGGTCTTTGCCACCATCGTCAGATTTGGTATCCTGAACTACAGGCTCCTGATTCAGAAAAAAGGAAAATTAGTAATAGCTTGTAGGAAGGATATAATTTAAAAAATCCATGCTCCTGACTAGGAAGATATAATAAGAACCTCAAAGCGCATGATATAAACAAAAGATAAATTTCTAGGTGGAACTCATATGTCCCCTACCTTTGGAGGGATGAAAGCAGCTTCTCTTTTTCGCTTGTTTTCTGCAGTTTTTTCAGTCTGCTTCTCTTGCCTCTCTTGCCACTTCTTTGCTGATTTCACTTTGTCATTCAAAAAGTATTCTCCAGTTTGCAATTGTATGTCAATCTGAAAAAGGTTTTATAACATTGCAAGCACATATTATTCACATATTTCAATTTGATTATAGAAAAACTCCTCATAAAGAGTGAGTAATCCAAGACTTTCAAGTAGAAAGATAACAATCAAGGGAAAAGGAAGAAAACAAGTAATCCAAGACTAATCATTTTTTTCACATACAAAACAAGTCAATAAAACCTAAATAAAAAAATCCCTATATAAATTATCTGGCCCACTACAACCAATGATTCTAAAGAAAGTCTTCATTCAACAGAGATAAAAAAGCAACAGCCAAAATGCATCCGACAACCAAAAAGGATTTTCCATTCAAATTTAAATTTACCTGGAAAATGAAGAACATCAGGAAAAAAGAATGGATACAAATCAGACTACAATCAAGAACTAAAATGGTAAAAATATCAACAAATTAGGCCTCTACCATTAACTATGACTAGGACTGCTGAGATTTTCATATTTTTAGGCAGGTTACATGCTCCATCCATATAGACAAAGTAGCTTCAGAAACATAGCAATTTGTTATGCTCATTTAGGAGTATAGCAACCTTATTATGCTTCATTCAGAGATATAGCAACTTTATAAAAGTTTCATGCAGAACCACTGGATGCAGCAGGACCAAACATGATAAAAGCAGACACAACAGGACAAAGAATCCTTGCAGGCGGATAAAACAACAAGGGTCTGGTAGCAATCACTCACCTTACTAGGTTGTGGAGGAGGTGGGTAAGGTGTATATGGTCTCTTCTCTTTACTCTTAACCTTGTTTTGGTTAATATTTTTCCTGGAGAGAGAGAGAGAGAGAGAGAGAGAGAGAGTAGTTCAAAATAAAAGTATTACAATTCTATGCATGCACAGAATTACAAACAAATGAAATAGATGTCATACTTCTTAAACTTCGGAAGAAATCTATCCCAGTTCTCATGTGCCAGTGTTGGATCCTTTTCAAGTTCTTTCCTCACCATGAGAATCTGTTTACCAGGAGGGAAGAGATAAAAGGCACTTAAGAGAGACATTCATTTACAGATCTTCAGGTCAAAAACAGTAACTTTGTAAAGTGAAAGAGCAATATTGAAAACATCACACAATACAACTATATTCACCTTGATATGAAATATGGGATGCATTACATTCTGCATGCAGTCTTCCACAATCTTCCTGACTTGCTTTAATGGTTTAAATGAACCCATTGCAGAAACAGTGTTTCCCTATCCATTTACAAGAAAATTAAAAATCTTTAATCCATACTTTCACTTCAAATAAAAATGTGCAACATAGCAATCAAAATCACAAGGAATAGAACACTTACTTGGATCAGAATATAACAGCCCGTCAGTATTTCAAGTGCCTGTATCCAAATTATAATGTAAGATTAGAGAAACAGCACAAAGATTTAAAGATTCACCTAATGGAATGTGTAATAAAAGATATTTGCATTATAATTTTTCTTTTTCTTTTTCTCGGGTGACAGTAGTCAGTAAAACACGATATCTGAATCACTTTATGCACCTTTAAAGTGGACGAATTGGGGCCCATGAGACGTTGCCGCCGTTTAATAAATCGTTCCTGCACTTAATGGAAGAGATTGGAGCAACTTGAAAAGTCAGTTCTTGCACATCTTAGCATTACAAAAGTTCTGCAGTCAGTACTTATTGTTCTAGCCAAGTCCTACCTCTTCCCTAGTAATAGAGGGGGTATTGGGTAGGGATTGAACCCAAAGGGTATGGAGGAGTTTGAGGAAAGTGGAGGGGTACCTCCTATCTTGTAGCCCAGCTATTGTACCCAAATAAAGGGAAACATAGGTTTGAAAATCATCCAGAAGCATTTGACAACAACTCTACACTACAACTTAGAATTCTACACCACAATTTTATAATAAAACTTAGTATTTGGCATCAAACTAGAAGGTCCTGCATTAGAACTACATAGAAGGTTTCCAAAAAATAAAATAAAAGTAAAAATTGATAGGAGGTCAATGGCTTAGATCTGTTTTTAAGAAAATTGACAGTCCCCTGATGCAAATAAATGAAAGGAAGTTGAAGCAATACACACCTTATTTCTCACCAAGTTACTAATCTTGATGATGTCACATTGCATTTCATCATTCAGTACTTTTATTGCCTGAAACCAAAAAGTTGAGAACTTGAATCAGAAAATTAACACAAAATAGCTCAGCCCTTAAATCAGTTCCATGAAGAAGAAAAAAAAAGGAGTTTTCAATAGAGAAAAGGAATTACATCGACTGAACTTATAAAGTATATAAGAATACAATCCATTTGAACTTATAGAAAAACTAATTCACAGAAAAAAAATATATAATCACAATAAAGAAATCTGACTTTGTACCTGAGGAGCAGGAACACTTCTTGACAAAAGTTTGATAAGATCCCTAGCTTTGACAACAATATATGGGTCCTTAGTCTTTCTGGTTGTAGAGACTGTCATGGAACCCTCAACCTAACCACATTATAAATGCAACAATTTATTAGGTACTTCAAATCATACATGAGTTTGAACAAACAACAGTTATTGACACATACCAGATTCAGTTCACATGAAATGCCATACTCTTTCAAAGCAGATTTCACTATAGGCCAGGCTTCTTGCAAATATTTTTCTGCAAGGCAATGCAAATGCACCCCATCAAACGTGACCCAAAATCTCAAGCACTTTTCTCATAACTAAAACTTAAAAAGTAAAAAATTTACATTTGTTTTCCCACAATTTCTAAGCAGCCAAACGCACAAAGAAGGAAGAGGAACAAGAAGAATAGAGCTGGTACCTCTGTATTGAGGGAATAGCGTAGAGAATGAGGTGACTTCAAGCATGCCACCTTCGTTCCAAGAAGGGTCGAACTTCTCAATCTTCCAGCGGTCAATGTTTGGGTCGTCATCCCAAGGTTTCGGCTTGCGGTGCTTGCCCTTGTTCTTTTGCTTGGGCTCAACGCCGCCGTTTTCGGTGTTCTCCATCGTCGCTGTGTTGTGTTTTGCTTCGGTGTTTGAAACCCTAGACGTAATAGAGAGTGAACCAGTTAAAAACCCATGGGTCGGCCCGTTTTATCTACAACCAAGTAGTGACGAAAAAAAAGGACCGTTATTTTGCTGGGAAAATACAACAATAAAATAAGCGTAGACATCTATTTTACCCTCCAAACAATAACATTATGTAGCAAGTTATTCTTGTGGCTTAAAATAATAACTTTTTAACCCAATTGTTTTCAATAGTCTCTTTAATCCTTAATATAAGAAACACACTTATAGGGGCGTGGCTCCAATTCAGCCAACTATATATATCCTTGTGTTTTTTATATGATTACAATTTTTTATTTATAAAATGTAAAGATAGGACTTGAATTTTAGATATTATAAAGAGATGTACCACTATATTAAGAGCTAATTAAGTTATGTATGATTATAACGTCATAATTTTCTATCTATTTTCTCCTTGAATTGAAATTGAAGTGCATACATGAGCTTAACCACATTGACTGGAGTGAATGTGCTCCTCACTATGCATCCGAGTTCGAATCCCCTCTTCCTTAGTTTAGATTATATTACATTAGAATATCGCTAGTAGTTTAAAAAAAAATTGAAATTGAAATTGAAATAGATATAGTTGATTGGTGAAAATTTTAGAACAAATTAAAACAATTTTGTTCAATGGATTGAATTTTGGTGTGGATGGTTGATTTTGCTGATATACTTTTGTAAAAAAAAAAAAAAAAAAAAAAAAAAAAAAAAAATTTTTGTCAATTAATGATTTTATTAATGAGCCTTTATAGATCATGTGACTGCCAATCATGAAAAATATAAAACTTAACTATTTTTTTATAACAATATAAATTATTCTTTTCGTTTAGCAAGTTATGGTTTGCACGGGCAGAAAGACTCTCTCTTTTTCGTATAGCCTTTCCAAGATCTCACAGAAAATTCATGATCAAATCTTCATATCTGGCCATCACCTGGCGAGATTAGGAAAAGGAGAGAGATATAAGAAGAAGAAAAAAAAACATAAATAAATGCGGATATAACTACACACAAAAATTATTTTAAAAAGGATAGGGGACTCAAGGTCGCTGCTTCCACCCACAGATGTCAATTCTAGAGCCAACTGGGTCGTAACACGTGGAGGTCCTGAACCTGGACGGCTGCAGAGCATAAAATCTTCACTCTCCTACCAGTCCCCAGTCTTTATCTGTTTTCCGTGCGTTCTATAACTTTCTCCACGTCTCTCGCACGGTCGCACCACCCATTCAACCACCTCTCAAGCTCCAAACTTTTTCAACTGCCCAAACTACCAAACGACCAAACGACACCGTCTTTTCTAATACATAGTAATGCTTTATCCTTTTTAACGGTAATGCGTCAATGTCTCCTTGTACTCATCATCCCCCTCGTGTACATTTTGTTTCTCTGAAACTCTGAGTTTTTTCCTCTTTCAATCTCATCTCTGACTGTGTCGAATAAATGGCGGCCAAAATTGGTTCCTTTAGGCACAGTTTTGCCGAGAGAAGCAAGGAGAGGCTGCTATCGAGAAAAGGGTACTCGGATTTTGGCCTCAACAGCTCTGAAACCGGCGATGATCATGTTAAATGTGGATGTTTTCGAGCAGTTTCTGATGGATTTAACAATTTCTGTAAGAGTTTTCAGGATACTTTTATCAAATTGTATCAAATGGGTCACTCGGATCCTCGAAAAGCTGTCTTTGCTGCCAAGATGGGGATGTCGCTGTCAATTGTATCGCTGCTCATATTTTTCAAGGAGCCCCTTAAAGATGTTAGCCAGTATTCCATCTGGGCAATTCTCACAGTTGTTGTCGTCTTTGAATTCAGCGTAGGTATTAGTTCTTCTCATCATGCTTATCATCTTATGTTTGTCTAATTCAGTTTTCAAGTTACAGAAAAAGCAATAGTATCAAACAAAGTTGATCCCTTTTTTGTTTATTTGTGTGCTTAATGGAAAGTTTATTGTCATTTTGTTGTTAAAGGTGCAACCCTGAACAAAGGTTTTAATCGTGCTTTGGGGACGTTTTCGGCTGGAGGGCTTGCTTTGGGTATCGCAGAAGTATCTGTATGGGCAGGAGATCTCCAGGAGGTTGTTATTGTAATCAGTGTTTTCATAGCAGGTATTAAGTTAGTTGATATTGATCAATATCAGTAGAGAAATATTTTTTGGTTCTTTACTATTTGGCACCTTGCAGGTTTTCTTTGTTTATGATAAATCCTTTCACTGAATTGACTGTTGGGTTTTGTGGTATTAGGTTTTTGTGCTAGTTATGCCAAGCTTTATCCGCCAATGAAGTCTTATGAATACGGATTTCGGGTATTCTTGTTGACTTATTGTATCGTCCTGGTGTCTGGGACTTCATCATTCGTCCAAACAGCAATTTATCGATTATTGTTTATTGGAGTCGGTGCTGGCATATGTTTGGGTGTAAATATACTCATATACCCCATTTGGGCAGGGGAGGATCTCCATAAGCTGGTGGTGAAAAACTTAAGGGGTGTTGCTGTTTCTTTGGAAGGTCGGTTCATTTTTGTCTTTAATTTTGATTGTCTCCTGGAGATATCTGCCAAAAATGACATAATGTTGAGTATATCTTGATTTATACTCAATTGCAGTTACGAGATTGATCTTGAGGTGTCATGTTTTGTTCTGTTATAGGTTGTGTTAATGGATATCTGCAATGTGTTGAATATGAGAGAGTTCCTTCAAAGATTCTCACTTACCAAGCTTCTGATGACCCATTGTATAGTGGCTATAGATCGGCTGTACAATCTTCAAGCCAAGAGGAATCTCTGGTGTGCTGATATTACAATTCTGCTTCTATTCTTCAAAATTTGAACCGAATAAGGTCAGGAATTATTGATTGAACTTACTCAAATTTAACACTGTTTATGCAGTTGGACTTTGCAATATGGGAGCCACCGCATGGCCCTTATAAGTCATTCAATTATCCCTGGAGACACTATGTCAAAGTTGGTGGTTCACTTAGGCATTGTGCATTCATGGTCATGGCAATGCACGGATGCATACTCTCAGAAATACAGGTAAATATTTCTCTTTCTTTTTACTGTGGCTTTGCTGAATGTATATAGCAGAAGAAGAAATATGTCGACATTAAATTCTGAATCTCCATATGAGTCCAGGAGATGGATCTTATGGTTCATACTATTCATTTGAAAATAAAATGAGCTTATGATTATTGTAACATTAAATCTTGAACTTGGTTTTACTTGATTTGTACTGTTCCCTCCAAATAATTTTGATTTGCCATGCCAATTACACTACTCAAGAAGAAGGGATTCTAAAAATTTTGTTTTGGCTTTGCATAGATAGCCTTACATCCCATTTCTCTGTTTGCAAAGACAAGAAAAGATTCTGAACCATGCAACAACAGGTCCCTATAGTTGTTTAAGATTCTAAGAGCACAGATGTCTTCTTAATCCTGTGTTTCTTAGGTTACCAGTCCATAACTTATGATCCCCTTTTCCAGGCCTATCCGTTTTCATAATCAGTTTTCGTGCATGTGTTTCTGTAGGCACCACCAGAAAAGAGACAGGTTTTTGGCATGGAGCTTCAGAGTGTTGGTAACGAAGGTGCTAAAGTACTTCGTGAGCTAGGAAGCAAAGTGGAAAAGATGGAAAAACTAAGTCCGAAAGACATACTTTTTGAAGTGCATGAAGCAGCAGAAGCGTTGCAGATGAAGATAGACGAAAAGTCATACCTTCTTGTCAATTCAGAAAGATGGGCACCTGAAGTACGGCCCAAGGAATATGAAGAACCTCAGCATTTTGTTGATAGAGATAATGAAAATAAGCAGGTGGTGATTGACTCTCTCAGTGAATTCTGGGATCCTCAGAATCCTAGCGGGGGTGCAGATCCTTCCATGCGACAATGGATATCCTCGGAAAGCTTGTTAAAAAACCCAGTTTCATGGCCGCGCCTTTCGTTTAATGCGCATGTTGTGCAACAGGAACCAGAAGAATCAAAAGTTTATGAAAGCGCCAGCTCCTTATCTCTGGCAACGTTTGCATCACTTCTGATTGAGTTTGTGGCTAGGCTTCAGAATCTCGTGGATGAATTTAAAGAGCTTAGTGAGAAAGCCAAGTTTAAGGATCCTGTGGACCCATTTGAAGTCAAAGAGGAGGTGGTTGGGTTTTGGACCAGACTATTAAGGTCGTTGCGGTTGAAGAATTAAGAGTGTTTTTCAGTTGGCTAGATATGTGTTATAATTTTGATCCAAGAATTTGGAGGTCATCATCACTGGTGGTAACTCAAACGAGTTGACGAAGTGATTTCGGTTTAGCTCTACAGATGTATTGAAAATGGTGTAGAAAGGCAGGGAGTGAGGTTCTCTGCTTTGAACTCTTTATTTGATGCCCTTTGATGCAAGCCATGGTGGGAAATCCCCATTTTCACAAAAGTCCGGTTCATCACAAAAATTCTTATATGAGCAATTGATGGAGAAGGAAACGAAATTTGGATCCGTTTCAAGCATAAAAATGCATATGCCTTATTTGTCTCATTGTCATAGGCTATCATGGTATCATGTGGTTGTGTATAATAAGCCATGAATAAAGAATTTTTTTTTTTGGGAGTAGCCTGAAGCCGATTAATGTGAAAATAACAATATGCTTGACTGAAAGAGTTCCAACTTCTCCACCTCCGCTCCCATGTAGGGTGTAGTTTAGACTATTGCTTGTACACAAGAAGATAATATTAAAAAGCATTTCTTCTTATTAGTGTTAGGGTCACACCATCACATAACATTACTAATCTAAGTTTTATGATATAGGTGGACTTAATATTTTGTGGATCTAGAGTACAATATTAATAAATAGATACATATTATTATAATATGAGTGAATGTCAAATGATTTATCGTGAATATGAATATGGATCGATGATTTATTGTATATGCCTATATTACTTATTCTTATTACTTTGAAATTAAAAAACACTTTCAAGTCTCTAAGAGCAATAATAATAACCAACCAAGAAAAAATCTAGCAAAACAAGAAAAAAGAAAAACACCAACCAAGAAAGGGAACAGAAGAAGCATTAAAACGCATCACTATTGGGCTAGGGCTTGTGAAGCCCCAACACAAGTTCTGTTCCTCAGCTCTAATCTGAAGACGCCCAAAGGCTAACAGCTAGCTTCTGTACACATGGGCCTAAAAACAAAAGGAACCATAATACGATAGTTTCTCGACTCTCTCTCTCTCTCTCTCTCTAACAGATTGTCGAATCAGAGGCAGCCGGCGGGAAGGGCACTGAGATCGGTAAGACCGTTTTCGCTTATAAGTTTCATCGATTTCCTCTTAGTAAATGCAAACATTTTAAGATTTTCTTTTTTCAATCAATTGGGGTAACTTGATTTTTGGCATCTGTTTGTTTTCCGAGGAAACTAAGGAAAGTAACACCCCACCCCCCCCCCCCCAAAAAAATTAATTAATTTATATTTTCCTTTCCCGGAAATGAAGAGTAATTCAGCTGAAGCAATGTCTTACTCTATCGCTCGCACGCACGCACGCTTGTTCATTTTTAATTGTTATTATTTCCTTGGTCATAAAATAAGTACGCAGTTGTTGATTCATTTTTCTCATTTGGAATTTTAGTAGCTAAACAGAGCCCTAGAGTTACTGATTCTGGAATCTCAGAATTCATCATCGTGTTTTTCATTTTCTTTTAAACGATTTTGGTATTTTCTGGATTTGGATTCTAGGGTTTGATTTAGATCTCGCGGTGTTGATCTGATGCTTTTCTCAATTATGCTCCACTGAATACCTTGAGAATCATACGAATCGAAGTAAAGAATTGAAACCGAAATGAGAATATAGTGGTTCTGTTAATTATTGTAAGATTATGCATTTTTTCTAGTTTCGCAGTTCCTGTGAACCCTGGGTGGGTGGTCATATAGACCGTTGGTTATATCTGCAAATTTTGCTTACTTTAAAATACTATTAGTTATAGTTACTTATTTTTTAGAAACGCATTTGCATATGCCCATTTATTTGTTGGTTGGTATTTATTGTTTTTTAATTATAAAGGAACTTATTGTTTTACATATATAATTTAGTAGCTGCATTAATGGGTCTTAATACATATCATTTACTTGTAGTACTTATGTTATTTTCTTTTGGTGTTTGAAGGTTCTAAAAAAACTTTGATTTACAATGTCTATGGTTGATGAACCGCTATACCCAATAGCCGTTCTCATAGACGAGCTGAAAAATGACGACATCCAGCTACGATTGAACTCAATCCGCAGGCTCTCTACCATTGCACGTGCTCTTGGGGAAGAACGAACCCGTAAGGAGTTAATCCCCTTTCTGAGCGAAAACAATGATGACGATGATGAGGTACTTCTTGCAATGGCAGAAGAGTTGGGGGTCTTCATTCCATATGTTGGGGGAGTGGAGCATGCACATGTTTTGCTCCCACCCTTGGAAACCCTTTGCACTGTCGAGGAAACCTGTGTGAGGGACAAGGCTGTGGAGTCATTATGTAGGATTGGGTCTCAGATGAGGGAGGGTGATTTAGTGAACTGGTTTATTCCTCTTGTGAAGGTTAGATAACTTATTTTCTTCTATGTTCAAAATTTTATTAGTTTTTAACGTTTGATGCCTTGTTCTAGTTCTAACCTCTATTTCCACGTGCCTAACCACTGGACTAGCCCTCAAATTATTTATGGAGAGACATGCCTTTTATCTCTTTAAATCTATGCCATGTGGATACTTTAAAGTGCTTTGCACTGGTGACATTGACATGAAAACATCAATTCATCAGTGTCCTGCACATGTCTATGTGCATTCATTACAATGCTCTGTAGTTTTCAATCCTTTCACCCTCAGCAAATCCTTTGTTCAATGCGTATTGTATTTTTTTTTATCAATCAGAGGTTGGCAGCTGGTGAATGGTTTACAGCTCGAGTATCTGCATGTGGGCTTTTTCATATTGCCTACCCTAGTGCACCAGAGACATTGAAGACGGAACTGCGGTCAATTTACAGTCAGTTGTGTCAAGATGACATGCCTATGGTTAGAAGGTCTGCTGCAACAAACCTGGGGAAATTTGCAGCAACTGTCGAACCTGCTCATCTGAAGACTGATATCATGTCCATATTTGAGGATCTTACACAAGATGGTAATTTAATGCTCACCTTGTTTTCTCGCCATCTATATTTTGTAATTCTATTAATTTGGTTAGAGTGTTTTGTCTGTACTTTAAGAAGTTGGGTGTTATTATTTCTGTCTTCACATTCTCAGTTTTGTAATTCTATCAATTTGGTTAGAGTGTTTTGTCTGTACTTTAAGAAGTTGGGTGTTATTATTTCTGTCTTCACATTCTCAGTTTTGTAATTCTATCAATTTGGTTAGAGTGTTTTGTCTGTACTTTAAGAAGTTGGGTGTTATTATTTCTGTGTCTTCACATTCTCAGTTTTGTAAATCTATCAATTTGGTTAGAGTGTTTTGTCTGTACTTTAAGAAGTTGGGTTTTATTATTTCTGTGTCTTCACATTCTCATTGTCTCTTTGAGTTCAAAGTTGGAGTTCTCACAATTTTTTTCATCTCAGATCAAGATTCTGTTCGACTTTTGGCTGTTGAGGGCTGTGCTGCTCTTGGAAAGTTGTTGGAGCCCCAAGACTGTGTTGCACATATCCTTCCTGTTATTGTTAACTTCTCTCAGGTAAACCTATTATTTAGAATGTCGAGTTTTGGTTTCTGAATATTTTGTGCAGGTTTATGTCCAGAATTTGCTACTTTTATATTGCTAGCATGGTTTTCATGGTTATATTCATCCTATTTTGTCATAAAAAGGCTGAATGGATGGTTAAGGCATGTGTTTGGAAGCTGTTGGTCATGACACTGTGGAGTGTCACTGACAGTTTTGTGTAACCAAAAATATATCAATGAATTTTGTGTATCTTGACATTTTTTTTTATCTCTGAACAGGATAAGTCTTGGCGTGTGCGTTACATGGTTGCAAATCAACTATATGAGCTTTGTGAAGCTGTGGGGCCTGAGCCTACGAGGTATTTATTGTCATACTGCAGCCATGTGATAAAGATACCAGACATTTGTCTGGCTAATTTTTGTTTAGCTAAGCCACACTTCCCATCTGTAGTGGCTTATTTAGGGCCCTTTTTATTTTTTTTTTTTTTTCTTTTGAAATATTTGATGGTGGTTGTATTTGAAGGACGGACTTGGTTCCTGCTTATGTGCGGTTGCTTCGAGATAATGAGGCTGAAGTACGTATAGCAGCTGCTGGCAAAGTTACTAAGTTTTGTCGGATTTTAAGCCCAGAACTTGCAATTCAGCACATTCTTCCATGTGTGAAGGTATGCATGCTTTAATGAAAAGTTTTTCCTTTCTTGGTGCTGTTTGCTGTTGGCTGTAATTTATACTTTATTTTGCATTAGCCATTCAATACTTCTCAATGACCTTTGCAGGAGCTGTCATCAGATTCTTCCCAACATGTCCGGTCTGCTTTGGCTTCAGTTATAATGGGAATGGCTCTTGTATTAGGAAAGGTGAGAATGTCATGTGGTTAGTGCAGTTATTATTTCCAGGGAAGAACTCCATAATTGATCATTACATACAATAATGGCGGTATATCGGATTGGGTTTTTTCAATTAAAAAAGAGTTTGACAAATCAATGAACTGGAGCTGATATGAGGTGTATATGACTTTTACATTAAATGAATGGTTTTGATTGGATGGTTGGTGGAGCTGAATATGTTTTGGATAGTCCATACATCTGTGAAGAAGTTGGGAAGAAAAAAAGAAGAGATGTGTATCTGGTCCATATCTCAAATTTAAATTCAGCTAACTAAATGGTATGAGTCAATGAATCTCAAAATTACATTCTTTTCAAATTAAATGACATTGTTGAAGATTGACTCTGAAATCTGCATGCCGAGGAGGGCTGCTTGATGTAAAATATAAACCGTTTCTCAGGTTTTTGTTATACATCGCATAGATTTGGCCTGCAAATTACCCCCTGAGATAGATGGAGTGTTCTTTCTGGCTTTTGTTTTTTGTTTGTTTTTTCTTTCTTTCTGGTTTGTGCTTGGATGAGATAGTCAATTGGTTTAGTCTCAATCCCGCAATGAATCTTTCAATATTATGATAGCGTTGTCTGATTAATTGCATTACTTGCATTCATCTCATTATGCAGGATGCTACAATTGAGCAGCTCCTTCCCATTTTTCTTTCGCTTCTGAAGGATGAATTTCCGGATGTGCGCCTTAATATCATTAGCAAGCTTGATCAAGTGAATCAGGTCAGTTCAGGACTGAGAAAGTAAATGCCGGTGCTAATTACATTATATTCTCAATTTTCCCCCGTGTCTCCTTTCGATGATTCTTTACATGCTTTTAAACACAATGTTTTCAGACCTTACTATTTGGGCATTTTTGGCTGTTCCCTATCAAAAGATGAGTGGTTAGACCTTTTTAAGAGAATGCTCAAGCATGTCATTCTTGCAGGTTATTGGAATCGATTTGCTATCTCAATCCTTATTACCAGCCATAGTTGAGCTTGCGGAGGATAGACATTGGAGGGTTCGGCTTGCAATAATAGAGTACATACCTTTGTTGGCAAGTCAGCTGGGTGTAGGGTTCTTTGATGATAAGCTTGGTGCCCTTTGCATGCAGTGGCTACAGGATAAGGTTAGTGTATTCCTACCTTTCAAATACATGTCAGTTCATGATAAGCCTTGGAGGGAAGTTAAATTGTTCGTTTTTTCCTTTCAAGCTCGCATCTGTATCAAGTTTTATCAACTTCCTACCCACCTCATCTCTCTCTCCACCCCAAAAAAAAAAATTTTAAGGAAGGAAAAAAGGAGAAAGAACTTCTATATGTGCATTAGTGATTTTTGTTTATATATATATATATATTAAAAAAAAGCATTAGTAATTTTGATCTACTCTTGGTACATATTTCTCTGTTTTATCATCTTTGATATCTGTTGCAAGTTTTTTCGTCTAATTATCATATTTGGGGTCTATTGCAGGTCTACTCAATTCGTGATGCTGCCGCTAACAATTTGAAACGTCTTGCAGAAGAGTTTGGCCCAGAATGGGCAATGCAGCATATTATTCCACAGGTTTGTTTATTTTCTGGTGCCCTACCACATTTTTGACTTTGCAGCTTTCTGTTCTTCTAGTTTTAAGTTGTGTATCTTTTCTTTATACTTCTGACCAAAAAAAAAACTTTATACTCTACTCTTTAAAAGAACTGGGAATTTACGTCATTTGGGCAGGTTCTGGAGATGATCGACAATCCACACTATTTGTATCGAATGACAATTCTACGTGCAGTCTGCCTCCTTGCCCCAGTTATGGGTTCAGAAATCACATGTTCAAAACTGCTGCCAGTGGTTGTCAATGCGTCAAAGGACAGGTATATATACTCCATGAACTGTGCGTACCAAATATTAGAGATATGATTTAGCAGAGTTATTCTGTTTTGCTGGCCTGAATTCTTATGTTTCCCCTTCAGGGTTCCCAACATCAAATTTAATGTAGCAAAGGTGCTGCAGTCCCTTATCCCCATAGTTGATCAGTCTGTAAGTATCTACACCTGAATCTTGACAATTTCATTTCTGAATGTTTTATGTAATTTGTTATTCCAATGTTCAATTTATGTTTCTTCTGACTGGGGCATGAAAATTGCTGTGATCCAGGTGGTGGAGAAGACAATTCGGCCCTCTTTGGTTGAGCTGAGTGAGGACCCCGATGTTGACGTCCGATTTTTTGCTAACCAGGCACTTCAGGCAATTGATCATGTCATGATGTCAAGCTAGCCAGGATTCTTTACACTCTAGGAGATGTTGATTGCATATGTTTAAAACGAAGGCATCATTTCTACATATCATCAGAGTAGTTTATATGTTCTTTGCTGGAGCGTCTGAGTAAGTGTGCTAGTATTTTGTGCCTAACATGCGGGACCGTTTTGAGTTGCCTAAGTTTATGCAATATTTAGTTCCCGTCGTATATGGGGAAAATGTGTAATATTAGCTTCCAGATTTTCTCTGTACTCTTCTAAAAATTGTTTCTTGTCTTCATCGGTCTTCATCGGTAGGAAGATAAATATTGTCTTAGAATTGAATTGAAGAACCGTATTATTTTGTTGGTGAATATATTCCATATTTTTTTTTCTTCCTAATATTTAATATTTGTTGGTGCTTTCAAAACGAGATTGGGTACTTTCAAATCTCCGTTCATCTCCATGAAAGAGAAAAACGTACCTATTCTTTGTTTCATGTACCTTTTTATCTGTCATGTTACGGGAGACAGAGAGTTAGGTGTATGAAACATGTTGCGTAGAAGTTTTACTCGCTGGTTAGATTGGTAATTGAAGCTTTTCTCAGTATCGTGATTGATGGAAAATAATTTTAATTAGTGAATTATAATTGGATTCGCTTTAAGTTGATTGTCAACACACACGCACCACGAATTTGCAATGATAGGAGCGAACCAAGGACAATACCTGTTATGTTTCATGTTGATTTAATGAGGGATGCTTTTTTTGGGTGGTGCCAGTTTAAGCTGCCAACCCACATGAAAAGGATCCTAGTTTGGTGGGCATTTCCTAGAGAGAGAGAGAGAGAGAGAGAGAGAGAGAAGAGAGGCCAAATGGTGGCACTTGTCTTGTGTTTAATTCCTCCACGGCTCTCCGTGATGCAGACGTAAATGGAATATTATGTATTCTCACCAATACAGTACAAAACAAAATTATAGTGTTGCTAGCAGTCCCCCGTATCCCAGTTGCCATCAACCTTTTCTCTTCTCTCTCCAACGACAACCCACCACCTTGTCAACGTCCACGCCCCAGCCACTTTCCCCACCCACACCTCAAGACCCCGATTCCGTAAGCCAAGACCCACCACCCCACCCCGATTCTCTCTCTCTCTCTCTCTCAAAGAACAACCCATACCCACAACCAACTCCCAGCAACATCTCCCAAGATCTTCCACCCGACTACACTACCCCATGCCGTTTTGCTTTACAAGTTTTTATTTTTTCGAATGTTATGTTTTAATATTTTAAAGTTAATTTCAAAAAAGTTTATAGGTTTTTGAAAAACCAAGATAGACACACACGATATGTAATGAATTGATCAGAGACAGCCGTACAAGTTAAATATGGGGGTTGAAGCATTTGCAACCTATACGACCGATGGTTCGCACCTGCTGCCCCCCCAACCACCAAATGAAAGCTTCGTTTTACTGCATATAACTAATTAGCTAGCTGCTGGGTTGGGTTGGGTGCACATGCAAATGCGCATATGATGGAAGCATTATATATACAGCCATAAAACAATACCATATATTACATTTAAGCTTAGCATTCAAGTCCAGCTCTCCATGCATGATCTTCACGATATGGAAGTAGCAGAAGAAAAAGTAGGAGAACGAAAGAGAAATATGCCATTGCCATCCAAAACTCAGGTATTTCATAGACATATGATGCGTTATGTGTACTGTATAATTAATTAATAATATAGTATTGTCTGTGCGCTAGCTACATGATTAACTACCTTTTTCTAGCATTCAACCTAAAAACATACATTATTTGTTTCTGCAGAAGAGGATTGGGCAGTAATTTCATGTGGAACACTCATTTGAGCAAGAATGTGTCACTACTTTTAATAGACGGAGGGCATCATCTGCAGCCCCATGAAGAAACCTCAACCACGAACCTTCACGAGGGGCCATCGTGGGAGAGGGCATGTGTGGCCTTCGTCAATCACTTACACTTTCATGCTTAAGAGGACATTGTTATATAATTTGTTTTCATCAGAATATACAGGTTTTGGTGACGAAGTGTGTATGTATGATCCCCAGCTAGCTATAGGCATGAGCGCATACCAATTGATACTTCAATTAAAATGGGTCATTTTACTTATGCACATTTCAGATTGTATGAGAAGTATTTCATTTCCTTTTCTGGTTGTAACCAAAACATTACAAGGGATCGATATTTTCCTAATTTACGCATTACCATTACCATTTGAGAATCATCATGAATTAATTTTTCAGTACTCCATGTATGAGCATTAACATTATGAAAAGGACAAGACAAGTCCCCAAACATAAGAACAAGAACGTATATGATGATAGAGACGACACGAAGCCCTCCTAGTACGGACTGATTTAGATGACAGCCAGCTAGTAATGATCTGGTTTCTTCGTCTTTTCCCAACGTTTTACACAATTCATTCTGATAAGAAGAAGAAAAAAAGTAAAAAGCTTTTACACAAATAGGAGAGAGATAGGAGAGAGAGAGTTATATACATATATGTATATACATATATATATCTACTAATTATAATTAACAAAGGCCTTAATATGAGTTATCATTTCATGGGATCGAGTTTTCGAGAGCTGAGACTTATCTAGAACCTGAAATGCATGCCCAACACCTTTGTACACCACACACTCCACCTTCATCTTACCAGCTCTGTTGCTGTTATGATCCAATGCACAACAAAACTCTATGTTTCTGTCTTTCAATATATCCATCTCTGAAATGCAAACCATGGTAGCCCAAACAGCCCTTAGAGAGCTAGCACTCTTCAAAGGGTTGCACCATGGATGGTCGCGATTAGCGCCACATGGCAGTGCCAATCGCCAGTAAGTATCAGAGGCTGCCAAGCTCAACGCAGACCTAGGTTGCTTCTCCATATAGTACTTCTCGGAATTTGTTCTTGCCTCTCCCCCAAAAAATGGTTGCAGCAAAATTGTACCCTTAATAGTTAAAGGCTTAATTAAGCTTGAAATAATAATTTGTTCATCACATGGACCGTCAGAAATAATATTGCAAAGTCTTGTGGCCACATTATGGGCTATATTGGCACCCGCACTGTCCCCCACTAGGAAAATTCTAGAAAAGTCACACTGCCTTGACCACCATTTATTATTAGCTCCACGTTGACTTAGAGCTTGTTGCTTTAGCCACAAAAGGGCCTTCAACCCATCTTCATATGCTGCTGGGAGAGGGTGCTCAGGGACCAGTCGATAATTCACAGACATGATTAAGCAACCGGCTTTGGCTGCTAGCTTTGCTAAGAATTCATGGTAACAACTCCAAGCGGCTGAGCCAACACAAAACCCGCCTCCATGGAAATAGACTAGCAAAGGGAGCTTGTTGTCATTTCCATGGCATTTGGGAACATAGAAACGTGACCAAATGTTTGTGAACTTGTCAATGACCACGTCCCTGGATGTCACGCCTAGCTCGGGAGCCACTGCCGTTGCGACACATGGAACAATATGGAGTCTCTCCACATGTCCATCTTTGTACACTTTAATAAGCCCTTCAATTTCCTCAATCACATTCCCATGTTGTTGGTCATGCTCATGAAGGTTGGTTTTTGGGTTGAAACTTGGATCTAAGGTGATAGCAGCCATTGATCTCTTTGCTCTCATATGAAGAACGTGAATGAAAACTTTGGAGAGATAGCACAAAACTTTGAATAGAGTTTTGGGCAATTAAGGAAACGTTTGTGGCTCTGCGTTCCTTAAATAGATGTTGAAAACGCGAAAATGATAAGGTAAGGAAACCTAAAGTTAGGGTAGCTAAAGAGAGGAAGAGAGATGAACCCCCATCTTATCCTGCCAAGTGGGCAATTGGGTCACTGCCACATGTCTTCACGTGGATCTAGTGTAGTATAGGGGCCATGGGAGTGCCTTTTGGTAACCCAGTTGATGAACTAAATTGTCAGATTAATCAAGTACTAATTTTCTTCAGTCGGTAAGTCATAAGTGTACCTACCCATTAATCAGATGCATATTAAAATTAATTAGTTGGGTTTAATTCAAATCAATGAGAATAATTTTCACATAGACATCATATGGTTGACCTTTGACTATAATTACACCATTATGTTTTCTTATACAGCTGGGCTTGGAAACAGCTTTTCCTTTTAGAATATGTGCATGACATTGTTAGACATTTTAAAGCGACAATGCTACAGCCTTAGGGAGTTGAGTGGAATCAAAGCACTAGCTAGCTAGAGGGACCTCACTTTTCGTTGCCTCCCAATACCATCTTTTCAACGGCACTGTTTTTAGGGACATTATGCTTCCACCAAGGCAAAAGTAGAACCAGAGCATTATTAATCTTGAAAATTAACTCCTCCCATTTCCATATATGTTAGAATCCCCCTCCCCTTGTGTTTCAGCACGTCCATGGAACATGCACCTTGTGTAAGTCATCAGTGGATCTTTCCATGGTCAAAGGCTTTTGGCTTATCAAATGTCACATAAATTTTTATTATGAGACCCACTTTGAAAAGGATCTTAATGGGAAATTTCTGAAGAATATGGTACATGTATGTTGTCAGTTTTTACAAACAAACATGGAGCATCAGTTGGGGATAAGAGAATAATTCCACTAGCCGGCTGATTGTTCTTGATCGTGCAATTGTACCTTCCTACTACCTAATACGTCACATCAAAATTTGTACAATATTCCTTATCAAAACAAGAATTAGTAATGATGAGTTGAGAATACACCGTTTGAGAGTAATGTTACGGACACCAATTCTTTTAATAATTTGTTGTTTACCAAACCGATAATGACATAGGAATTCATGTCATGTTACAAATTCTATATTTCAACGCGAATATCTTTGAGAAAATTATTGGCAAAATTAAACACAAATAAATTACTGTTACAAATTACATTAACAGTATAACAATTGGCTTTGAATCACAATTTGCTGTGTGTGGGTCTAGTTAGCGCGTCATGCCAGACTGAAGCTGTGGAGGCAATGGCGATGGCGATGCCATTGTTGCAGCCAGTCGTTTCTCCCTTTCGACGTTGCCATGCCAACCTATGGACATGTCAAAGCCCTGGTTCTGAAGCTGCCTATACTCTTGGCACAAAGCACATTCCTCGCAGCAAAAATGGACGCAACAATCTGTGCAGGGCCTCTCCTCCAACAAATATTGCCCTCTCAGTTTGGATCGATAGAAGCACGAATACAAGCACGAGCAACCCACCAAACACAGCATCAAACTGTAAATAGTCCCGCTTACTCCACAAGCTGCATGCATATCCACATTTAAATTCGATCATATGCATGCAAATTGCGACAAACACATATATTTATTTATATTTCATGGTATGGTAGAGATATAATTAATAAAGGAAAATAAAAACATACAAGTTGATCCCCTGTCCACAATTTCTGCAATGCGTCCAAATGTCACACATGGACACCAACACGTCAAGCAACCTATACACAGAAAAAATTGATAAACTATTATTATTGACAAACATCCGTTAAAGTTTTACTTTGGCAGTAAAAGATAAATTGATAAAGATGCGACATGGCACTTACAACTGCTAACATCTTCACAACAGTTGCAGAGCCCAGTGGACCAAGGCACTGGGGAATGAGGAGTATTATTGCTGATAATGATCGGATCAACCGGAATGCCGGTGGCTGTGAGAGGCGGCGCTGACGGGGCCGGTCTGGCCAGAGTGACAGACTCTTTCTGTAACTCAGCCATGCCCATATGCTTTTAAAGATCAATGATCTCCACATACATATATAAATATGCGTGTGAATCAAAGAGATATATAGATTCATAATTAACCAACGTGCCTCTTCGTAATAAACAGTTAATGGATGAAGGGATATGTAAGTTTTCAAAATCCTTGATTAATTTTCCTATTAAGCACTATTAGATTTCGGTAGTTTGTGATTTTCTTAATTAATTACGTGTGTTAATGATTAATTAACAACCTCCAAACAGAATTAAGCCTTCTGCATTATTTAACTTCAAGAACCGTATTGCCCAGAAAAACATCTCAACTTGGAACAAGTCATCTAAAACATTTTTTTTAAGCGTGACATTTTCCTGGTACCATCCTTCCTCGTTGACCAAATTAATCTATGTTTAATTTCCGTTAACGTCTTTTACTACACTTTGATATGATATACGTGGCGAGGTGAGGTGAGTTGAGACTTCTGACCTTTGATATGATATAATATCTCTAGCTTTCGCACTAGTTTCATATATTTTTCGTGTTAGAATTATTCACCTTTCATTTTGATAATTTATTTCGAATGAAGCATAATAATTTCCAAGAAATGAATCCCCTTGTAATACGGTGTAGTAGGTAGGGCTCTTTGTAGTGATAATCTGAACCCCATTTTTTCTTATAAATATATAGTGCCATAGTATATAGATAGGTAATCGGCCATTCAAGAATTTGTTTTTCTGGCGGTAACAATGTCTTCATATAACTCCAATTCCAAATTGGCTCAACCTGAAAAGCAACTTCCTCAAGGGCAATGGTCCACTGGCCTTTTCGATTGTTTGGACGATCGTTCTAATTGTACAAATTTTTCTTTCTCTTTTTCTCTTTTTTTTTCGTTTTGCTTCTTCGTGACTGACGTTTCTTCTTCATATTTCATTTTTTTGAAGGTCTTCTCACTTGCTTCTGTCCATGCATCACCCTCGGGCGGATTGCGGAGATTGTTGACAGGGGGACTACATGTAATTAATTATTAAAAAAACCCTACTCAATATGCTAATTGTTCATTAAAATGTTTGAGTAAAAATAGTGACTAATTAAGTAATATATATACTTGGCATGCAGCTCGTGGGATGGCTAGCCTCAACTCCTACGCAATGGGGTCTATTGGCTGTGGGTGGCTATATTCTGGAAAATATCGAGCCAAGTTGAGAGCAATGTTTTCACTACCAGAAGAACCATGCGGTGATTTTGTGCTCCATGGCTGCTGCTGTGTCTTTTCTATTTGTCAGGAGTACAGAGAACTCAAAAATCATGGAATCGATCCCTCCATAGGTAACTCACAACCCTATCTAAATTTAGAAATTGATATATGGGCTCAGAACAACCTTATCTTTTTCAAATTGATATTTGGGCTCTTGTTGGGCATACGAAAACTAATCCCATGCCCAAATAAACACTGGGAGCAGCTGATTACGATTAGGTTCAAATTCGTGCCCCATCAATCATGGTGGTGTGCTTTGCAAATAGGAAAACACAATTATTATTATTATTATTTTTCTGGGTGTCAAATTTTCCACATATAGAAGTGATCATGAATCTTATTGCTGTGCATGGTTGTTTTCAAGGGTGGCAAGCTAACGTTGAGAAGTGGAACCGGGAAGGGATCAAGCCCCCGATTGTCGAATCGGGCATGGATCGTTAATTCACTGCCGTCTTATGTTAAAAATTTATTATGAGTTTAGTTTAGGGTTTGCTTATCAGATTGATTATTTGCGAGTATGTATTTATGTTCATTCTCATTATGTGACCGCCAAAAACTTTCGTACATGTATTATTATGTATGTATTGAATTTATGTGCTTGGCTGCTCTTTTTTGTTACTTTATGCGTCTTAAGCTACCCATTTATGTCCTTTTGTGCTACATATCAGCAAAGCAGGGCCCTTGTTTACGTGTGCAAATTCTCTGAATCACCTTTCATGGAAAACTTTCTAATTTTGACGTTAGCAAAATTAATTATCCCCAAGTCATTATCGTCGACTTGCATGAACAAGGCAGAGGAATTTAACAAGCATACAGAATAGACATGTGCCGACGTACGGACAGAGACAGATTCTTGGACTTGGATTCATGACAGATATGCTGATTATCTCCATCATTATTGACCGCAAACAAAGTATTTTCTGTTGTCCAAATTCTTCTATATATAAAATCCAAAAGTTACTCTTTTTCTGCAACCCAACCCAAGACACCGTTCATTTCCTTCACAAATATCCCTACTTTCAAGTTTTGTCACAGAATCTGGTTTCTGTCTTGAAATTCAAAATGGAGGTGATGAGCCCAAAATCCAGTCTTGAATTTGATGATGGTGGTGCTTATGTTGATGATGATGTATTTTTTGCCGATATCACACGGCAGATTTTGATCTTGACCGCAGACGATGAAGATTTTCCTAAGCCCAAAACTACAAGCTCATTTAGTACTAATGTCACCAAACGTAGCTTTGATATCCCAGCACCTGATGATTCATCATCACTTGTGTATATCAGTTGGTTGGGAAATAAGAACACTGACTGCTCAGTTCCAGCTTCGCTTTCAAAACAGTGGGAAAACAGCAATGGGACTGGAGTTTTTATCCCTCAGGCTGTAAATCCAAGAAGCAATTACAAGCCAAGTACTTGTTCTCATCCTTTCTTATGATTTTTCTTTTTCTATAAATTTTTAAATTAAGAAAATTGGGTTTTATTTAATCAATTGATTCAGTTCAATGACTAATGTTTTTTGGTCCCTAGCAGGAAGGATGAATAACAACACAAGAATTTACAGGCGGGTGCAGAGCAAGCAGTGATGAAAACAAGTTTTTCCCTTTTCATGGATCCAAAAACCTCAGATAGATGCTGTCTCGCCCACAACGTTTCTACTAACAATTCAAAAATAAACGGAACACAAACATCATGTTGTAAAGACAAATGTAGGGGTATCAAATTTCATTGTATTATTTCATCTTCATGTTAAGTACGAATTAATTGTAACTTATTCTTTTCATTCACTTAGTCTATCTATTAATTATGTCGTATGAGCTAAACTCGAGTGATAATGATGCAATTTTTCAAATAAGGCCCCATTTGGTTTATGAAAAAGGAGGCTTGAGGATGGAAAAGCAATTACTTTCTCATGTTTGGTAAGTCCGAGCATAGGAAATCGTTGTTTGCACATAGAAAAGTAGGGAGGAAAGTGAAACCCTCCTTCCCCCTTAAGTTTTGTTTTCCTCCTCTTGAGAAAGTTAGGAAAATGAGCCAATATTAAATACACATTTTTCATGACCATATTGTCCCCATTAACAATTTAGAATTACAATATAGTATAAAATACATTTTTTTTTATTTGATTTCATACGAGTATAATTGAAAAATTAAACTAACTTTTACGTTCTTACACAAACCAAACATTGAAATGAAATAAAGTAGTATTTCTTAATTACTTTCACTATATTACTAAACATGAAAAAGGAATCTCCATTTCAGATCCCTTGAGAAATGACATGAGAAGTAATTTCCCCTCAAACCGTGTCGTGAACCAAACGAGGCCTAAGATTTTTCTAAGAATTTGGTAACCACAAATGCTTTCAGTCCCGACTATCTGATAGGATTAGTATTAGCACATTTAGTGTGAAAATGAGTACACATTTCCATGCCCAAGAGCAAGAGGACATATATTTAACTTAATTACATGTTTGAGAACGGCCACTAGGCTTTCATTAAGTGGATCACTGACGTTTCTATAAGCCAAGATGCAGGGCCTAACCTGTGACTGATAAAAGAAAAGCATCATAAGAAAAATGGGGCCTCAAAGCTGAATCTGCATTTTCATAATTAACCATCTTCGTGGTCTCAGCACTACAGCTGGTTTACTAATAGTGGGGCAATAGCAAATTCTTTTTTCTTCTTCTACTTGAGGCCGGGTCGAGGTGAAGGCGAAAAAACATTAGTCCCTAGGACGTGCCAACCATAATGAACTGAGTGCTCGGAGACGAGAGAAGTAGTCACTGATGACGAGGAGGGCACGAGCTGCTTGACGAGTGGTCAGAATACGATGCATTTGTTGTAGTGTTTGCTGTCTCAAAAGGTCAGCCTAACAAGTGAGAAAGTATGCACATTATTTATACATATCCAACATATATGCACAACGATACTACAAACAAATCACAAGAAGATAATTCGCAAATCCACACTTGTTACCTGGTGAAGGAAGTTCTCAAGTGTGGCAAGCTTGCCCATAGCAATTGCCATTTGGCCCATGTAGTCTGCAACATTGCCAGAACCAGTAGGTCCATGAGTACCTGAGGAAAGTGTGTCTACAAGAGATTGTTGCAAAGCTTCCATCCCTTGTGACAAGGCATCTTCAGCCTGTTGGGAGGATTGCTGCAGATTACATATGCCCATCAACTGTTGATCTGTCAAAGGTTCAAGCTGGTTCCCAAGTATCTGAATATCCAACAGTAAATTTAAAAAAAAAGAAAAAAAAAGACCAACTTGAATATCCATACTCGTGTCAGGCCAACAGGGCAAAGGTTAAGCAATTTGGGAAAAATCAAATAGAAGATCACCTTGAGAAGTTCAGACGAACGGAATCCACCCAACCACATAAAGCACCTTTCTGCAGGTGTTTTCCACATGCCAGAAAGCATGTGAAATACATCAGCCTTTGCAGCAATGCTCTTTAACCTGAATATTTCATCATAATGGGTCATTACGCTATCAACAAGGATCCGCAATTCGTTATCACCCGTATGGGAATTCACAGCTGATCGCATATCATGTATCAGTCGTTGATGTTCGTCAAGCCAGCGCGCATACTCCAAGTCAAATGCTAAGGCCCCTGAAAAGTACAACCCGTTATAAGTTCACTGTCCGCTGTGTAAATTATGATGTTGATCTCTAGGCTTAACATCATATATTTACTTGTCTGCCTTTGTGCATTCTTTCTAGTTTCTTACAGGGAATGAAGTTTTCCAAACAAAATAGTAGTATTCATGTGGTTAAAGCAATTTACCATTTCCTGCCATTGAATGACCATTATCCCCAGAAAGTCCAGTTGCAATAAACATACCCTGCATTGAAATAGTAAACATATAATGAAAGAAGAAATAAAGATATATATTTTATGGATAGAAACTTCAAAGTCCCTTCACCTGCTGCCGTGCTCGCTGAAGCTCTTGCTCTAGTTGTGAAAGCCTAAGTCGACTATTTTCCAGCTGCTGGACATATGCCTATCCAAAACCAAAACCTATAAATGATCCAAATATGTTGTATTCATTAACTTAAAAAACAATGCAACTTTTCATTCAACAGACAAGGATTCAGGGGGACATCAATGAACTAGAAGGGTACCAAAGAGGTAAGCTAAATTAATAAGGGAGCAGAACCAAAAGGGCAAAAAGGGTAATTCAACCAAAAGAGCACAGTGAATGAGAAGCATTTATAAGGCAAACCTAAATCATAGAGCTGACAGTGAATCTTCAGGGTAGTCTACACCAAGATTTTTATGTCTCAACATTTGCTAACATTATTATGTATAGAGCTAAAAGACCCAGAGCCCAGGTGCCAGGCCTAGGCAGATGAAACTTTAAAGAAAAAGATTTCCAAAAATGTGAAAACTGCAAAGTAAATGAGAAAAGATGCATACTTTCTTCCTTAGACGACTCTTCCTTGCTGCTTCTCGATTCTGGGCCAGCCTACGCAGTGTCTGGAAATTAATTAGCCCAATAAGATCAGCATTCAAAAAAGAAAAATTACCATCCAATCCAAGCACATGACTTTGAACAACAGTATAGATATATCTAACCTTTTGATCTCCACTTCTTTCCCTGGGCTGTTCCATTGAATCCACTACTGTTAGTGCTCCATGCGGAACTCCATGAAGCTAAAAAAGAAAAAAGAATTCAAATTTCACATTAAACCAATTCACTTTGACTCAATTCAAGAAACATCCCTAGCTTGGGTAGCTAAAATTTCGAGTAACATATTCGGTTTCAAAGTAAATCAATTTAGAGATAGGCCCACCATTGATCTGGACAGAACATGTACTAATTGAAAGCCTTCTGGAAACAACATGGATGGCAATCAAAAAATTTCAACTTTCAAAAGATTCTAAATTCCAAGCTTGACACCCACCCACCCATTAAAGCCTATGGATAGATTCCTATTCAACAGTGCATAGTAACACGGCATATGCTCATGAAACAGAGAGAGAGAGAGATGAAGGTACTTGGGTTTTATCATCGGTGTCAACGTCTGTGGAGGTATCATCAGTCTGCTGGCTGTTGTCAGCCATGGCTGAATCACCCCAATTCTCAAAGTGTCCGTTTCCCGACGACGTCGTCCCTTTCTGCTGGTGGTACATGTATTGGTGATGCCCTGTCTCTACACAGCCTCCTCCTGTCCCGGTTATTGTTGAGCCTATGTCCAAACACCCAGTGCTCTGCACAAACAAACCATCCCATAAGCCCAACAAGAAGACACTGAAGCTAAGCTACCTATATCATAGTGCAAGAGAAGAAAAATAAAGGGACTTGGGTTGGGTTGAGTACCGTGTTCAAGGCCCCATAGTGCAAGTTATTAGGTACAACAGCAACATTGTTTGCTTTTAAACTGAACATTGAGCCTACAACACATTAAAACCACACATATAAATAACAGAATACATATAATACTAGAGAGAGAGAGAGAGAGAGAATACTTGGGATTAAATCAACAGCATCATCGTGAGGGAAGACAGTAGCGGACTGTTCAAGCTCTCCAAGATCCGTAAAACGCGTTTGGTTTCGGTTAGTGTCGTCTCCTCTGTTTTTGCACAGCACAGATTCACAGAAACAGAGGCGCTGGGTTATTATTTAGAGATAAACATAAATGTTAAAGACCTTTTTTTCTGTGCTAACCCATTTCTTATGAACTCTATTAACACCCAAAAAAACCATAACTTAAACAGAGACCCAGAAACCAAAAACATAACCAATTAGCACAGAGAGAGAGAGAGAGAGAGAGAGAGAGAGAGAGAACAATAATTAGACCTGAAATAGAAGGAAGAGTGGGAATACAATTCTGGGTTTGTTGAAGCTGCTTTGAAGCTCTGCATTTTTTTAAGTGACTTGGTGTTCCTTTCTACCTATATCTCCTTTAAAGCAAAGGAAAGATAAACATGATCCTCATAGGGACTTTTTTAAGTTCTCGAGTAGAAGAGGAGGAAAGAGGAGAGAGAGGAAAGAGGAAAGAGCAGTGAAGTGAAGAAAATCTTGAAGTACCTTTAAGAAGAGGATAGCGTATCAGGACACCCTTTTTAATAATTTTAAACACCAGGCTTTTTATTATTGCTTTCTGACTTGGGATTTTAGCTTCCCAATACCCCAGCCCAACATTTCTAGCCCTTCCTCAGTCTCTCCCTCTGGAGCGTCTCTTTCACTCTCTACAATCCCTGCTCTCCCCTTTTGCAAATAATCAAAACCCAAAAACCAGTCTTGGACAAAACCCAAAATAGAAAACTATGTGATCACACAGTTTGAAAACGAAGAGGAGCGTGTGGAACAAGAAGTCCACTTGGCCCAAGACAAAAAAAGAAAAAACGACCCCTATTTAGTTGATTCTCTGTTTGCTTCTGGATCGTCTAGGGTCTCTTCCTCTGCTAGACTGTGTAGTGTAGAGAGAGAGAGAGAGAGAGAGTCTTTGGCATTGATGCTCTCTCTCAGTCTCTACAGAATTATAATAATAATCTTACTAGTATCACTGTAAGTCTGCAGCTATATACGTATCATGGGGAAGAGTGTCTGCGCGCGAAAAATGATGGGATGTGAAAATCAGATTTTCAGTCAGATGATGCCAAAAAGCAATAAAAGTATAATATAGATTGTGTGTTTGGAGTTTGGCTTTTACCCTCTCGTCTCTGCGGATTTATTAGTACTTATTTTACGATGGAGGATTTTAAATGAGACGTTGCTTGAAAGGAACCTCTTGCTAATGGCAAGCAGTTTCAGCCGCTTAGCCTCTGCGTGTGTGGCAGTGGCTGGCTCTCACACCACAGCTAGCTCATCAGACAGACTGATCATCATCTGCATTGTTTTGTAATGTAAAATTAAAATATATTTGTCATGGATTTACATTTAGCATTTTTACATGCATTAACATTACATTTATTGTGTGTGCCAAAGCCGAAAAGAATATGACGCATTTCATACGGCAATCGTACATATGATAGCGTGTCACTTTCCCTCTGGTGGTTTTTGGTCCTTTCCTGTGTCTTTTCTCCGGAAACTCGTTCTGGTTCTGCTTCCCTTTGGTGTCTTTGGTGATGAAATGTGTGAGGCTCACGTGACTTTGTGGATCTTGATTCTTGGATGACACATTACTAAACCCATCGCCAAGCCTTTACTTTCCCTCTCTAGCTTATTTCCTGTACGTTCGGATCCTTCCTGCAATCTCTGAACTTCTGAAGTTTGCTGGGTTTGTAATGTTGTATGACTAGCACAAGTTTCCTGGCTCTTCTTTTGTCACTCTGTTTTCCTTGAGCCAGAAAAGGGAAAAAGGTAGCTTTAAGCCTGTAACTGATTCCCAAACTTGGACTTGGAAGTGTTTAACTTTTTAGACACAAGATATTTTACTCAATGGCTACAGAAAAATACTGATAGAATCTGATAAAACTCATACAATCTTTGATTGCATATGCATCTCAACATGACGGGCAATTGTACAACAATCAAATATATCCATGATTTGAGAAATTCACGAGTTACATATAACCAAGACCAAACCCCCCCAAGAAAAACCCTAGTTACAGACAACAAAAACAAGTGACACCTCCAATGGGCACATCCTGTTACTGTAACTGGTAAGTATCAAATGCATCACAGCGAAACCCTTGGGAGAGCACCTCCAACTGAATATGGTGGAACCTGATCAACTTTCTTCTCTCTTCAACTAGAACCAACCCCGTGAGGGTACATGAACGTACCTCTGCCTAAAGCAAATAACTTCAAACAAAGTTCCCACCTATCATGTTTTCCCTCTTTTGTGTGTGACAAAGATTATATATCCTATAACAAAACTCAAACCATATAAAAACGATTCATATTGGATAAGTAACTAACAGCAGTTAATTACATTGTACATTTTATAACAGAGTTAACTTTTCAAGCAGGGAGTGTTTCTTGTGTGTGGTTATCAAAGCGATGGTGAGTTAACACTTCCCTCGCCCGCGAGCTCCTATGTTGAAGACGCTGGTGTAGCATCTCTGACATCTGGTTGAAGAACTCAGCATCCCACCTATGAATTAACAAGGGGTCTTCTGCATAGCAGATATAAATAGATGTAACAGCACTTTCCACAACCACCATTGCCAGTCCCACCTGAAAATACATGATCCATGTTAAACATGCCCTATTGAATTGAAATGAAAAGCAATTTGTATGCTCTAAATCAACCAAAACTCTGTTTAGTGCTTAGGAATAGACAACCAAGAAGTAATCTAGTCAATATGTTACAAAATATGATGAAGGCATTAAGAAAATTACCAAGACCATTCCCATCAGCATTGCAGTGGACCCCACCATAACCACCCTGTCCCTATATTTAATCCATGTCCAGATCCCTGAGCAAGTACCAGTGATAAGTCCACCCAATAGAGTGCCCATCAACAAAACAGCACCTGAACAATCATAGGCAACGAGTGCCTCCACTCCCGTAGACTGAAATAACTCCCAGGCATCCCTCGCTGAATGATTAAAACTTTTTCCAGAAACAGCTATCTGTAGAGAAGGGTCATTGAAAAATAACTACTTCTACACAACTTCAAGAATACAGAGAGAACTAAGTGATAATCATTGAGGGTTCGAGATAGCACCACTACATAACAAGGGTGATAAAATTTAGGTAAAAAGTTGTGTGTTTAGGATCAAATAGAACAACAATAAAAAACCGACCACCATGAACTAGAAGTCTCACATTAAAACATGTTGCTGTTTTCTTTGCTAAGATAAATATTACTGTTGTTAACAATTTTGCTGTTCCTTTTACAAAGATGCAAGGATTGGCAACTGTTGCTGATTATTTTTTCCCACTTGCAACCCTTGTAAAGGTTATGAGGTATCCAAGCAGCCTTGCTCTAGGTGCAGTGCAGCAGATTTTTTTGGACAGAAACATGTTGCTTTAATCCATAAGCAATTAAATGCAAAGTAAAAATGACAGTGGTTGTTAACGGAACACTCCAAAACTACCTGGACATAGGCATACTTGTTAAAGAAACGGACAAGAGTCTCCACTAGATGAAAGAGGAAATCAACACAGCAAAGTAGACACTCATTGTTGCCAATCTTGGATCGGAGTCCCCTGATCTGAAATATATTTCAGAACTCTAAGAATTAAATTACTCACTCTCAAACTAAAGAGAAATATTAATGAACCATCCCTTAGAAAAGAAAACGCAGGCATGTACCTTCCACCGAAGTGTCCGAATGGCAGCTGTGAAAAGTGAACCATAGCAGATGCTGCCAAAAGAAGTTGTGACTGCATACCGAAGAGACTTCATCAGTGAGTTTGGAGGCATTGATGATGCCTCTCTACCACCATGGATAAGTACAAGAAACACCATCCCAGAAACTATAACATGTACAGTATTACAGAGTACAGCACCCGTCCAAAATAAGCTTATAGAGAGAACCTAAGTACATGTGCGACAGCATTATTAGTGTCATTAGATGATGCATGTTGTAAAGTTTTACTGCATTTCATATCCCAATAACAACAGATGAAAGAAGAGCAAAACTTGCCAGCTCACCACAAGAAGCCACCAGCGTCCACCATCTCCAATGCTTGAAGCTACAACACCAGCTGCCCCAAAGGACCATATTCCCATCCATAGAAGCATAATAAGCATGAATGCATATGCTACTCTCATAACTTCACGTAGACTCCATACCATCTTGACAGCTGCTTGTAGCACCAGCATGGTAAATGGAAGTCTATTGATTAACAATAGAGTCAGAAAGACTGCCATTGGATCTGATTATTCCAATTCTAATTTATCTATAGATTTTGTTTGTCTTTGTGCGTAGAGTGAGTGAGGGACATGTGTGTGTGTGTGTAGAGAGAGAAAGAGGGCGAGAGACAAGGACAGAAACAAAGACGCTCTATGATCGGAAACTACCAGGTTAGGTTTGGAGAGAGATGGGACCGGTTATATAATAGGGCAAGCATAGACAGGGACAGAGAGAGAGGAGGATAGAATAGAGAACAATTAAAGTCAATCGTGGAGACAAAGTCAACAAAAATTCCTTCAAAACCCAACTACTTGGGACGACCCACAAGGCATATGATATAAGATTCCGAAACGAACCCCAACCTCATGCCTTAATTTATAAACATAGGCACGTCAACCCTGCAATCTAGCATCATTGTAGAAATACCACAATGTGTATAATTAAATACATACAAATACTTTGTAGTATGCAGATTCCCATTACTGAACAAAAACCTATATCATACATCCTCTTTCCCCTTTCTTCACTTGAGTTAAAAGAAATCATGTTCAAATTTTAAAAACAAAATTTCAGGCACAGTTCCATTGTAACAGTCTAACCAAACGAACAAGAGAAATCTCAGCCTCATACCTGTCAATTACTGAAATAACATACAAGAACTGCAACACAGCACCAATCGCAAATGCAACACCCCAGAAAAACTGTTCCATCCAAAATAATAGAACGCTAATCACAGCAAGATAAGTAGTCAAGATGTGAACCGCAACCTTCATCATGTGATTTGCTTGAGAACTGAGGAACAACAACCAAGTCCAACCAAGAACAGTCCCAACTCCACCGGCAAGAGCATAAAGCGGCCAATAGTTCTCCGTCAATCCCCTTTGATTTTCCAAAAAAGGCTGGGTGTACCTATCTATGTTTAGCCTATCTGTTTTCTTAAACCTATTGAGCCCGAGAACCGTAAGTGCACATCCCATTAAAACCAATTGAATTAGAAATACTCCCAACCAGAAAATATCACGCCAACGACGTGACGGCTCAGAAGCCAGGGTTTGACTACTGTCTGCACTCCTCCGACTTGAGATCACATTCTATAATCAAAAGAGATCAAACAATAGCAATCAAATTCAGAAGCTTCGAACATGAATTGGAGTGAAGCCATCAAATTCAACTAAACTAATAGAACTTAGGTATAATAAAAGGAGTGAAGCCATTAAGAACTTTTGAGACATAATATATTAATTGAAACTGAAATTAACTTAGGTAAATAAAAGGAGCGATCCAACTCCGGCCAATGATCTCAATAATTACATTTCAAAAAGATGATCAATTACAAGATTGAAATACTATTCACTGGGTCGTAAATTGTACTGAAAATAGCCAAAGTGTGAGAAACGAAATTGAGTAAAAAGCTTTAGTCTTTGCACGCCGTAATGGATTCCAAGTGATTCAAAACTGGACGAATAAAGTTCAAGTCTTGCATAGTGAATGAAATGAAAGTAAAGTACATAATACAAGGAGTGATGTAATTACCGGATCGGCGGTGGCGACGGAGGCCGAATTGACGGAGGAGGACGAGGAAGAATAGGAGCTCTGCGATATGTTCATGGTGAGAGGGACAGAACGACACGCATTGTAAGAAAGAATGAATTTGAGGGTTCTGTGGAAAGAGAGCGTGAGGTCAATGAAGGGTTTAATAGTTTTTAGGGTTTGGTTTGGATCAACTTAAAAAGGAATAAATATTAAAGAATGGAAATTCGGGAAACGCTGAGAAATGGAGGGGGAAGAAACTGAAACTCAACGGCTAAGCGTGAAAAAGAATGAATATTATTTGGATTTGGTCTGAGTTTGACCAGTGCAGAGGAGAAGATGCCAATGTCCTGATTTGCCATTCTGTGATTTGTGCGGTGTTTTTTGTGAGTGTGGGTCAGGGAGGAGACTGTCCAGCTAATCTACTGTGGCATTAACCTAGAAGCTTTTGGACGCGTTTATTTTAATTTTATGAGAATTCGCTGGTATGCAATGCAATGCAACAAAGAAATTAGGCATATAGTAGACACATAGTGGGAATTGCAAGTTTGGTTGTGCCACTAGCCAAATAGCTTATGGAACCATAATCATAATGGACAAAAGCTCCGCTATATGTTTTCTAGATACGACATCGAGTACAAAGATAAATGTTTTTAATCAATTAAACTACTTTTTTTATCAATTGAGTTACTTAACTTGTACTCTTTTCTTCCATGTTATAACTTATACTCTTCTCGTCCATGTTTTCATTTTCTTATCTTATTTGATGACCAATTATCTTCCCAGAAGCCGTAGAAAAGGACATATATATATATATATTAAGTTTTAAAACATAAAATTAAACAAATGTGTAGGAGGAGAGTCGGATTTCTGATTTCATATTTTTAAATTTTTTATGACAGTCAACTTGGAACGGTTTAAGTCAAAGATTATCTAAACAAGTTTTGACGGGCCATTGACTTTGGAATACCTTGTACCGGGCCTCTTTATGGCAAGGGTAAAGGCCCAAAACCATTTTCTGACGTATTATTATATGAACTGTAAAATTGGCAAACCCCCAAATTCCAAGAGTAGTTTACTCTCTCAACGACAAGACGTAACCGTTGTATCTGCAGCTTTTGCCCAAATTTAAAATTAAGCTGAAGCTTCACGCTTTGATTTAATTAATCTACTGTATCAGCGGCAGTACTATGCCACTTACCTGTAATTATAAGTTAATAAAACAACACTGCAAAATTTTTATTTTAAAAAAAAAGAAAAAAAAGGAAAAAATGAAGAAGATGTAGATTTGGTAACATGGACATAGAAGAACTGAACAGGGAGGCAGGTTCCTAAAAACTATAATTAAAAAGAAAAAGAAAATGGTCGAAAACATAACGCCTAATTTATCTGTCTAGCATTGGTTGGGGAAGAACCCAACCACCGAATTAGCGATGTCGAAACCGACACGTGTCCCTTGCTGTTGGACATTCCCAATGATTGACAGTGAGGAGGGCGTGGGCGCGAACGCAAAGCAAAAAGTCCCCTCCGAGTCAATCGGTATCAGGTAATTTTTAGCCGGTAACGGTAAAACTTTCCCGTCCGCGAAGTGAAACGACACCGTTGGCACCTCAACGCTCTTCTTCGACGACAAGTCGTAACACACGTCGAACAGCGCCGCGCCTTGGGTGGACGTCAAGTCCTTGGTGCCTTTCACGAACGCATCACGGAGGGCGTTGTAAGTGTCCGTCTGCAACCGAGTCACCGCCGTGCCCGAGTCGATGATGATTCCGCCGTTTCCGCTGTCGTCTATCAAAAAAGCCGACTCTGGAATCGGTAGCAACTCGCCGCCTACGCTCAGTCCGGTTAGGCCGATATAGTAAAACGTGTCGAGCTCAGGGTTACGGCGTAACGGAGCCGTCACGGCGTTGGGATGGAGCGGCGAGTTAAACTCAAGAGTTGAAGCCGAGTCAGAGTCACGGTCCACGAGGCAGTAGGAAAATGACGTGGCATTGAGCTGGGAAGGAAACGACAACGAGCCGCCTCCGAGTCCGAGGAGCCCAGACGCGCCGATGAACAAGCCCTCGTTGGTGTGGCCACAGCCGATGGCTATGTCCTTCGCCGAAACCCCGCCGATGGTGATGGTCTCCGTGACGAAGTCGCCGACGGTGTAGGAGCCGTCGCCGTAGGCCACCTCGTAGAGACACGTGTCGTTGCGGCACTCGAACACGTCGAGGGACTTGCACCGTTGGTTTTCGCACGAGACAGGCGAGAAGGAATCCGAGGAAGTCGGCTCGAAAATGGGGTCGGCTTGCTGATAGCAGTTGGCGCAGGGTGCGCACTGCACCCAGCTGACGTCACTGCCCGTGTCGAGCACCACGTAGGCCGGACTCGGCGGTTTGCCGATTCCGACTCGGGAGAAGTACTCGCCGCTTCCCTGACTCGTCCCCGAAATGACGGGACCCTCAAAACCCTTGGCTTCCTCAAGCTCCAACCCGTTGCCGGTATCCACGGGTTTAAGATCCGACGTGGCAATGCCTTGAAGAGCCAGATCTAACCGGGTTGTGAGAGATCTGACTCGGGCCGAGTCACGCTCGAGTCGAGCCAAAGTGAACGACTTGTAGTCACTGTGGGAAGGCTTGTGAAGTGAAATTCGAGAATGTAGCGGCAGAGAAAGTGAAGAAGCAGCTGAGGAGCTCCGGTCTTGTTGGCTCAATGCCTGCGTGTGAGACTCCGACGACAGGGCGTTTAAGGTCGTCTGAATTGAAGCAGCGACGTCGAGCACTGTCGTTTTGGAGCTAAGCGGTGAGCTTCGAGAGTGAGCTAGTTGGAAAGTAAAGCAAAAGAAAGCAAAGATAAGGAAAATGTGGGAGAGGAAACCCATTTTGGGCGGTTGAGGTCTGGAAGAGAGTGTGAGGTGGTGAGGTGAAGTGTGAGATTTGAGGACTGTTGATTTATTTAAGAGCGGAGAAAAGTAAGCATAATTGCAGGAATCACGTAAAGGACATTGGAAGAAAACAAAGGCAAATTTATGGGGTGGAGAGGAGAGGAGGAGCTTTGGATGAGGAGATGAGAGGAGGAGCATACAGCAGATGGGTGAAGTCGAAAATATGGGGCCGCTGAAAGCATTTGCACGAAGGGGTTTTGTTTTGTTAACATTAAATTTGGAATTGTCATATGTTACTTTTGGATTTTTCTTTTCATTTTTGCAGAGTTTTGTTCGTGTTTCATGATCTTTGCATTGCATGTGTGTATGTCATTAGAATAGTATTTTGTACCATTTGGTTCGTGTGATTGCTAATCTTTCTTCTTCTTTTCTGGGTCTTTCCTTATTTTGGGATTCGGTTGCTTGAAAGATAAAGAGAGCTTTTTAAAGTTAAAGATGTATTGAAGTTCACTCAAAGGCTTATTAGATGGGTGTTTTTATTGGGATTATGGGGCTAAGCGTGATTCTAGTAATATAATGCTTATTTTCTCAAGCACTCTTTGTTGACCAATTTAAGGACTAATTTGATATATAAATTCTAGCCACTCTCTTCTTCTTTAAGCGACAAAGAAAAATTTCATAGAGAGGGGAGGAGGAAGAAGTATCTTTGTCCCTCTTTCCCTCCTCTCTCCTCGCCTTTTTCTTTTGGGTTAGTGAATAAGTCCATTGGAATGTTTGGAATAAAAAGTTATTTGTGGTGATTTCTTCTGAGCATGCTCATATTGAAGTTCCTCATCACCCATTTTAGGTATTCTCAAACAAATCATTCTCCCAAAACACGCTCTCTATTACTGCTCATGTTTTCTAAATTTGGATATACATCGTCTTCGACGGAGGTTGCTGCAAATCACATAATTGTTCTTTGTTAAGGTAGTTGTTTACGTTTATTTATTCGCTCTTATGCGCATGTAGATCACTGGAAACTATGTTTTCTCGATATCTGTTAAGGATGCAGTGGTGGGTGTGGCTACAACGACGCTTCTTCATGTGGTGGTGGTAAGGTTCATTTAGGGTCATAGGTTATTTTAGGGTTTTTGTTATGTTGGGTATGTGGACTTTCTTTAGGTTTATGATTAATTGTAGTATTGTGGGCTAATAATTTTAGTGTAACTTTTGTCCGCTTTAGTTTTGTTTATGTCCTAGGATTGGTAATTTAACTGTGATGTTGATATATTTGATTATACTGTTAAAGATTATGTAATGAAGTTTATTTTTTATAATAAAAAAACATACATACTAATTTGATAGTTTCATTTCATAGTGCAGCTTGCTTGCCCGAGAGCAAATTGACGGGGACACACATAACAACACTTCTGCAAGTCAAAAGGAAGAGCTTGGACTCATGTACTTGCCGTGATAAGAATTGAAGAAGCAGGAAGAGAGAGGGACCCATGATTTAATTATGTAACAACCCAAGTATCATATTCTCATGCATTCCGTGACCTAATTTATTTATTTTTGATGAAGGACCCTAGTATTATTATTGCTGGCTGGTTATTGATATTCGTTTGGTCAAACTAAACATGGGTCCGGGCCTGGGTAGGGCCCAACTCCAACGTTTGAGATTCGCCTTTTGGAAAGCAGGCCATGATATTGTCAGCCTAAACGTGCACCAAATGATCGATAAAACCTTAGCCAGCTATGCAGCTTGTGCAAAAGAAAGAACAAAGTACACATGCGGCATGGCACGTCTTCCTCAAGCAGGCAATGCATGATCATGATGGAGAGAATTCTTATAAAAACAGTGGCGGGGAGGGCAATGCATGATCCGACTTCGCCCTACTGCTTTGTCATTCCTAATTAAATGAAACAAATACTAAAAAGCCTCAATTGGGCTGGAAAAAAATAATGGCCTGTGTAGTATTCAACTTAAATCCAATTTTTTAAATTTAAAAACAGAATTTGAGTTCAAAACAAAGAAAACCTGTTTGGTAGTTATATTTTTAAAAACTCAAACTCAAAACAACTAAAGAACACCCCAATTATTAAAAACAAAAAATATTTGTTTTTTCAGTTTTTTTCTAACAACCCACAAGTTCTCAAATTTTTAATATTTGAAAATAGTTTTCAAGTTGCATGTCAAACAAGTTTTTGAATCTTAAAAATAGATTTA